TATTATGAATAACTCCAGGCTTTAAACATTCGATGAAACGGTTCCTATCATTTACCGGTGATATACGTTGTTTCAATAAACATTGAATATAGTTGTAAAATTTTTTTTTAAATAAATTAAAACACTTCCGTGTCGTTTTGATCGTCTCCTTTATCCCGCACGCGGAACTGAAATTTGTTAAACTTGTTTCTATTTTTTTTAAATTCACTGTAATGTCTCAGATGAATTGATTACATAGCTCTTTACGCATATTTTTGTGATGTCTATAAATAGGGGAAATTTAAGTTCTTTGTTAATTCATACCTGTGCAGGTACACCATCTGTTACCGAACGATGACCACTGCTATGTCTCTATTAAGCAGCTGTTTCGTAGTCCTTTGTTCAAAAATGTTCTATCGATTTAATCAAAATTCAATTCAATTCTTACTTTAAGTGTTTTAAAATTGGATCATATATGCTTCCGAGTGCGTAAACTGATAAAATATGGTGAAAATATTTTTGCTGAACAAATATAGCTCGTCGGAGGTGGACCCAGAAGGTAAACTTCAACAAAGTGTTAGGTTAGAAGAGGGTTGAGCAACCATAAACATGACAAAAGACACACAGTACGAGTATATGAGTACTCGCCAGGCTTTAAATTGTGGACGACAGACGCGTTTTGTCTACAAAAGACTCATCAGTGACGCTAGAATTAAAAAAAGTAAAAAAAAAATGTCAAATAAAGTACGCAACGGTTGAAGAGCATTGTAGACCAAAAATTCCGAAAGGTAGTTCACCCTCAACTAACAAATAAATCATGTTCTCGCACACTAAAACTCCTTTAGGTCTCTTGTATGATAGAAATCCCCCCTTCCTATATACCTGACACGACTATACTGTTGGTAAAATTGTTACTAATTTAAATATAGGACTATTTTTTTATGACAAATAGAACATTACTTGAGCAGTTGTTTCATAGAAATTATTGTTATTAGTTGTTAGTTTTTCTGTAAAGAATATCACTTATATCAGCTATTAACAAAGTATTGTCTGCAAAGAAAGAATAAATAACCCAACATATACATTGAAATGTTGTCTAATGACATTCCAAAACCTTATGATATATAAAGATAAGGAGATGTCGTACGTATGCAATTGCCAACGAGACATCTATCCATATGAGTCCAAATGACGTGGTGTAAGCAACTATAATAAAAAAGAAAGGATATGGGGTATCCATCCATGACACAAAATCAATATACATAAAAATAAGAAGATGTGGTATGACTGCCAATGAGACAACTCTTCACAATAGACCAAATGACACAGAAATTAACAACTATAGGTCACCATACGGCCTTCAACAATGAGCAAAGCCCATACCGCATAGTCAGATATAAAAGGCCCCGAAATGACAAATGTAAAACAATTCAAAAGAGAAAACTAACGGCCTAATTTATGTACAAAATAATGAAAGAAAAACAAATATGTTACACAGCAACAAACGACTACCACTGAATTACAGGCTCCTGAGTTGGGACAGGCACATGCAGAATGTTGCGGGGTTAAACTAATTTGTTGGCGCCAAACCCTCCCCTATCCTGGGACAGTGCATGATGCTCCGACACAATACAAGAACAAACTATACGAAAAACAAACTAAACAGTATATATACGAAAAACAAATATAAGAAACAGCAATAAACGACAACATCTCAATTACAGGCTCCTGACTTGGGACAGGCAAATATAGAATGTGGCAGGGTTAAACTAGTTTGAAGGTTCCAACCCTCTCCCTAACCTGGAACAGTGGTGTAACAGTACAACATAAGAAAAAAGTATAAAAATCAGTTGAAAAAGGCTTAACTCATCAGATGGATACAAATAGAAATACATCTAACAAAAACACAGAGTGGACGTGGCAGGGTACTTATACATCCCAACAACAAAAAGACCGTGACTAAGTACGGATCTGAGAGTATACTCGCAGTTACTGACAGCTAGTTCAAAGCCAATAACAACTAATAAAAAAATGCATCTAATGCACAGCAAAAACATAAAAAGTAAAGGAACAGCGCTTTTATTGCTTATGGTCTAGAATCCGTCTTTGATATTTTACACAACCCAACTTCGCATTTTTGTTTTGTTATAGCAAACGTAACTAGCGGTAACTTCTTGTCTTGTATTTATAAATGTTCGTTCTCTTATTCAGTGTATCGCTGGTATTTTATTTTAACAGCTTTCTTTGATCACAATTTTGTGTAAACTATGGTTTAGTGTTTTTATCACAAGAGATACGTACATTCTTTTTGTAACCAAACGCTGTCGCATGAGGGACGTACATTCCTCCTGTAACCAAACACTGTCACGGGAGGGACTTTATTCCTTCTTTAATAAACTTCATACAGGAGTGGACTTTGCATCTCCAGCGCTAGACCTTAAAGCTGCATGCAGTGCTAGATTTTACATCCCCTGCGCTAGACACTAAAAACCACAACCCTTTATCTGTTTGAGACCAACAGGTCTCCGTATGATCAAAAGTAGTATGGAGTATTAAAACTGTTTCGCGGTCGTGATCTCGGAAGCTAGCCTCCTTTAATGTAGATATCTATTTCATTAAATTTGCAAGAATTGATAGTTCAGATGAATACAAATTGAAAGCATTGGTCATACTTTGTTTCTTAAAAAAGAATAGCCAACGTAGATACAAATGTCTTATTTCTGGGGAGGAATAAATCATATAACTAAATCATACTTTGTAAAGAAAACCACTCTTAATCAACCATAAAATTCCCTGAAACTGGCATTATCAAGCTAGATGCTTGATTTCTTGGTTGACATCATGCCACGGTTTGTTACGTTTGGAGGACATGTTTTACAAACCAGTTGTGCACCTCTTTTTGCCGACTTGTTCAAGTCCTTTATTTATATGAAGCAGACTTCATACAGGAGTTTCTTAGGAAGGATGAAAAGAAGCAAGCAATGTCCGTTAACTTCATGTCCCGCTTTATAGATGATGTTCTCTCACTGAATAATTCAAAATTTGGTGACTATGTCGAACGCATCTATCCCATTGAACGATACAGTTCAGTTTGCCTCATATATATATATCATGAACTTTCCATTTCTATGGCATGTACAGTAAAACTTGGTTATAACAAATGTCTGGGGCATATTGCATATTGATTACGATGACTGATTAAGTAGTGATTCGTTATAACAGAAACTTCGCTGTAAGCGAATTTGTTATATTCAGACATTTTGCCATGCAATTTTGATAGATTTAATTTGGTCGGGAGTTACATTGAAAATTTCGTTATAGACGTAAATTCGTTGTAAGCTTGTTCGCCATAATCGAGTTAAACAACATTCCAACAGCGCCCATATATATATATATATATACATATATATACAGTGCCTAGAAAATCAACCTAACAATGTTAGAGTAGATCTGATTCTTTATTTCCTCCCAAATCGGGGCATATATATATATATATATAGCTGTCATATCTCCTCCCTATTGATACGATATTCCAGAGCATGCGTTTTCTATCATGAATTTCTTGATAGAGGGTTACTGCTTATAAGGTTAACTATTTAACCAAGTTTGTACTTACATAAGCAACACGACTGGTGCCACATTTGGAGCAGGATCTGCTTATCCTATCGCATCACCTGAGATAATTTCCTATTTTGTTGATGTTCATGTTGTGTTTTGTAGACTGGTGTTTGTCTTTTGGTCTTTCTTTTACTTATATAGGACTTTGAATATCCCTTAAATTAGGTATATCTCCTGTCTTGAATAACTTTTTTTTGACAACCGTACTCTCAGATCTGTACTTAGTGTCCTTTTTGTTGTTAGGGATGAGGGATTGATAAATGCCACGTCCGGTCTGTGTTTTGTTTGATGTTTATCTGCTTTGTATCGTTCTGATGCCGAGTTCATTCTTTTTCAAACGATTTTTATAGATTGTTCTTATCATCGCTGTTGCACCACTGTCCCAGGTTAGGGCCGAGGGTTGAGCGCTCACAAACATGTTTAGCCCGCCACATTCTTTATCTGCCTGTCCCAAGTCAGGAGCTTGTAAGTCAGTGGTTGTCGTTGGTCCATGTCCGTCATATTCGTTTTTTGTAAATTGTTTTTTTTTTTATAAATTAGGCTTGGTTAGTTTTCTCAATTGAATTGTTTCATGATCAGTTTTCATCTCGGGGCCTTTTATAGCCGACTATACGGTATGGGTTTTTTTCATTGACATTGTTGTAGACCGTACGGTTGCCTATAAAAAATGATTGATTTGAACTTTGGTAGATATTTGTCTCATTGGCAATCATACCACATCTCCTTATTTTTATAATGATTATGACACAGACAACCCTTGAAATTACTACCAAAATTGAGAAAAGAGTATTGAGAGTACAATTCAATCATTTATTTGATAATAAAAAAAATCTGCTTATTTGGACCTTATATGTAACAATATTATTTATATATTCATATTAGGTCCCATGCAGTTTTCTGCGGTCTTCCCACATGTACGATCATGTTCTGTATATTTTTTTTTTCTGTTCACGTAATTTTTTTTCATTTGACTTTTTTATACAAGTGTTGACATGAGACTCTCAAAAACGTATATATTTTTTAAAGCATGACTTCTAACCTCTACACAATGCACAAGATAATTCTATTGATCAATTCATCAGTTCGTTGTTTACATGTCCATAATATAATAACATATTGCCTGTCAAATTAACCAATCAAAACTCATCATTTTACGCAAAGGGGACAAGTTGTTTCTACCACTGAAGGCGCAATGAGAAATAGGTCACGGATGATCAACATAATAAACTATTGGTATAACTTAGGAAGTATTTTGGTAAATACAGATATTATTACAATATATATTATATCGAGTTTATTTAGTTTACTTCAAAAGACTGGCTTGACACGTTCCCACATTTCTATGTAAAACGAAAAACTTGCATAGAAAAAATATCCATATTCTCCTAACTGATAGCCCTGCGTCCGTTCCGTTGGAAGCCATATTTACAAATGGAGGACGATTTAACGTCTCATCAAAATATGGGAAAGAATGACGACTATTTCCTAGAGATTCTGTTTACACAGTAATTATTTATAATTAACGTTATTCAAAGGATATGTAAGGGACAATAATGTCGTATTTTTGAGGTGATATTATCAGCATTTTTGTCGTTAATTCGTTTTGAAGTGAAGGGCATTTCATCTCCGTAAAATATATTTTTGCGATGTTTATTTATGAATTCTTTATATAATATTTGGTAAACAATGATGGGATATAGGTAAGTATTCAAATTGTATAAGTGTTATTTAATGATAAATAGTTGCATATTAATTACTGTATGGAGAAACGGGAAATTTAATGTCAAATTAACGAGTTAACCGCCACGGAACTGTAAAAGATGGCCGCGAAAATATTTTGCCGAGAAATCGTTACAGTATAATTTAAATTACTGCTACTGATATATGCAGATATTTATGTTTATATCTCGCTCTAAAAAATATTCTATCCAACGGAAATAATTTACAACTTCAACACCAGATCTATTAAATTGAAAAAAATATTCTTGTGCCATAAAATTTAAAAAGTTGTTTTGTTAATTTTTTTTCTTTAAGTCTACTCTTGTTTATCTGAAGGCCTTGAAATCTTTGCACTAGTCATAACTTAACTGTATATCAGACAAACTCTATAAAAGCTTTTTTTTGTTTTTTTTATACTATCCAAAAGCAAGTGAAGAACAAAAAATAGTTCATTATTTAAACAAAATATCTATAATGCTAGCCAGTAACAGGTGAAATTAACGGATTTGACTGGAAATTATCAAATAAATTTGTAGACGCACATTATTTTGATATCCTTTCCAAACACAAATTGTCCTAGTTGTTTGAGACCAAATGTTAGTTTGCTCCATATACATGTAAGACCAACTCACATAATTTATCAAGTTGTGTACCATTTTAAAATTATTTTCATGATTATTATTGAATACTTCATGCTTTTTCTGCTCATATTGTAAGAAAATTTTGAAAAACTCAGCGATTGAAGTAAACAAATTGTTACTTGAGATATTTAAAGTAGGATCAATTAAAAAAAAAATTTGTTTCCATTTACAAAATGAACCAGATTAGCCCTCTTATTTGAATCAGACTTGGACATGAAATGTTTATATTGCCAGTTGTAAAAATAGAATATATCAAGTCTGCTTCCTAACTTTTAAAACTCTGTTTTACCTTTTTATATTCCATCGTATTTAATTGTGATAGAACAGAAATCAGGAAAAAGACAGATATTTAACAATTGTGTTTAGGCTTTTTAGGATTTTTTTGTAATTTTACTTGATTTACAGGTTGAAAAAATTCTTATGTATTATTATGTAGAGGTTCTGTATAGATCACTTGTCTTTGTAATGTGGGGAACCTGCAATATTAATTTTTTAAGGGTAAATTTGATCATGCAAATTTCTGTCTGCTCTTACTTTGAACTTTTGTCATGTTTGTATAGACTGGCATAGATTTGTCCTCCATAAATTTGTAAAAAAACTATATTTTCACTCAAATTTTACCTGAAATTTCCCAATTTGATCGTGTACATACCTTATGATGGCGGTTTACCGTATAAGGTCATTGTATTGCCTGGTGTACGCCTCTATCAGCAGCACAATTTTGGCTGACTATTAGACAAAAGTATTTATTGATAAGATATAAAAATATATATCTTTGGTAAATGATGAAATTTTGTGGAATATTAAGTAATACACCCTATCAAAAAAAGGAAAGAATCGACCATAAATCGTCATTATTTAATTTACTCTCACCATGGACACGGTTTTATTTTTGTTATTAATAATTTTTTGTCAAAAAAAAATCAGCAATTTTTTTGCATTGAAATATATATATAAAATTAACGAATACAATTTCATCTTTTTTGACTCAAAAACTATAAATTTTGAACCCAACATTTTAAGAAAGGTATTAATCCTGACTTTGAACGATGATCATTTCAAATGTTTCTGGGCAGAAAATAGCATCTTGTCAAAATAATACACAAGTCTTACTTCAAATTTTTGTGAAATCTGTAAATTTCAGTTGTAGTTTAACGTTAACACTTACATGTGGAAAACAAGATAACTTGTTTTTATGATTTTTTTTGAGGGGGGAAATATGAAATAGGTATGCCGATCCTGGTAAACTGGTGTTTAACGTTGGTTATCTGAAGCATGAATCCCCAGGATTTATTATTCAAAATGATATCTTTTGACAATTAACATTGTTGCCATTTTACCTGGCAGGGTTAAGCCCGTATCACTTGTTTGTGATGTTTGCCTATCAAGTGAGCTGTTGACATTCAGATAGCCCTTTTATCCTGAATCAAGTACAAAAGTTTCTGAAGAGAAATTTGGAAAGGGTTTTTTCTTCAACATGGTGTATTATCATAAATGACCTAAAATGAGGATGGTGACAATTGACAGTCATGACAGTACTCGATAAAGTAAAATCATGTCAGAATTAAGTAGATTTTTACCAAAATTTCATGCAATTTAAGGGATATCACAAATGTATATTATCAGAGAACATAGAGAGTGTATTTGAAACAGTTTTTTCTTCTTAATTTGACAGGAGATTTATTCTGAATAAAAGGCCAGAACTTCAAATAGTAATTATTCATGAAATTGTAACCACATGAACTAATTTTAATAGTTCCATTCAACTTATAATTAATAATCCTTCAGATAATTTCAAGAAAAGGAATATTTGGAAATTTAAAAAATTATATGTGGACATCCTATGTTAAGTCAAAAGTACCTTAATGAATTGCTTCCTGTAAACATATATATATATATAATAGGAAATGTTGGGTCTAGGTCAATCACAAGCAATCAAATCGCACATGAAAAAGCATATAGAATCTCCCTTTACATAATGATCTTCAGAAATTGACAAATATCTCTACAATATGTCCTGCTCTAGATTGCTCAGTATCTGGATATTGTGAGACCAAATCAATAAATAATTTATTCTGCTGAGTCTATAAAAAAAATCTGCGATCATAATGTAAATGTATGTAGAATCACACAAAGTAATATGCAAGTTACATGGATAATTACAATTAAGAAAACAAGTCTGATCTGGGCTTAATCTTGTGGACAAAATTTCCTGTCTCAGTTTCTGAATTTTAAGCAAAGTAAAAATGCCTTGGAAAATTCTTTTATTGTGTAACTAGTATATTGAATAATAGTATTTGAATGTTTGAAATTAAGTTAGATGAAAAATGAATTAGAAATGAACTGAAATCATTTACTGTTTTAAGATAACATTTCCAAAAAATTGATTATTTTATGTTATGCTTTAATTTGTACATATTTTTCCTTTTCAGATTGTTCAAGATTCGTGGCATTAAGTGAAGTTTTTTCAGAATGTAGTTACTTTTTTTTACCAATCTTTAAATAATTCTCAAAAAGAATTATGTGTTAAGTGGTTGAGCTTTACAGAATGGTAAAAGAAGGGGAAACAGAAGGACTTGCAAATCTGACTTATGCAAAGTGGATTTTGGAAGCCATTGAAAAAATTAAACATCAAAAACAGCAGCCAAATCTTCAGCGGATTGTTCATGCTGTTCAACAGTACCACAGTGTTAGTAGGGAGTCTATAGAAGAGCAGCTTCAATTGGCTACGAAAGATGGTTTGATTGTTAGAACTTTTAGTAAAAAAGATTGGTCATATAGAGATCCATCCAAGATGCCTCACACCAAAAGAAGGACGTTGAAAATTGACAAGAAAACCGACTTGACAAAATTTCTTGTTAAGGCTGTGATAGATCTAGGAGAAGATGGAAGCTCTCTTAAGAAGATTAAAAATCACCTGAATGCTATATATAGCATTGAATGTCAGAATGGTGTTGACTTGACACTTCTTCTAAAAAATTGTCTCAAAACTGCAATGGACAATAAGTATTTGACAAAAGAAGGGAGGAGTGTAAAGTTAGGAGAAAAAGCATCAGACATTGATATAGCTGGGAGTTCTAGTAACTCGGCATCATTTGATGAAGACTCTACCAGTGACATGTCATTCTCAATTGAACAAAACATGGTAAGAATATCATTGTTCCTAGTGGTCGGTCAAACAAACCAAATATAATGAAAAAATCTCCAGAAAATATTCTCATTGCAAAATCCTCATATTACACTGTTACAGACCAGGGAAAAATGATTATTGGTTTCCCCTAACCTGACTGGGTCTGTTTTAGACGGCAGGGTCGTTTATTTTCGACTGAATCTAAAAAAAAAGAAAAGAACAGCCATGTCTTGTTCCAATCCAGCAATGTTAATCAAATATTTTTATTATGCCCATCCGTAGCGGAGGGGGCATTAAGTTTTACCCTTGTCCTTCTATATGTACGTAGGTTTGTACATCCGTACGTCCCAAAATTGGTTTCCGTTCTCTAACTTGAGTTTGCCTAAACCAAATGTTATGAAATTTATACACAATGCTTATTACCACAAAATACAGATCAAGTTTGAATTTTGGTGGCATCACTTTAACCGTTCTAGAGTTATGCCCCTTTATTAATGGAAAAGTTCCAAAATTTTTAGTTTCCGTTCTCTAACTTAAGTTTGCCTCTACCAAATGTTATGAAACAAATACACAATGCTTATTACGACAAAACACAGATCGTTTGAATTTTGGTGGGGTCACTTTAACCATTCTCGAGTTATGCCCCTTTATAAATGGAAAAAAAAATGCAAAATTTTTAGTTTCCGTTCTTTAACTTAAGTTGCCTCAACCAAATGTTATGAAACTTATACACAATGCTCATTACCACAAAACACAGATCAAGTTGAATTTTGGTGGCGTCACTTTAACCATTATCGAGTTATGCCCTTTATAAATCGAAAAATTGCAAAATTTTTAATTTCCGTTCTGTAACTTAAGTTTGCTCCAACCAGACATTATGAAACCTATACACAATACTTATAACCACAAAACTCAGATCTAGTTTCATATATAATATGTTTCAGTTTTATTGTTAAGAAGCATAACAATGTCAAGCTAATATTTTCCTGCCTTGGTTTCTAGATCACCGAAGCGCTTATATAATTAACTGATCTGAAAGATAACAATGATTTAAAGCGTTTTGCTCCCCTGTTGTTCAGATCCCCTAAATGGCCACCTCGCCACCAAGCGCCAGTATTCTATTAAGATTGAATACATGGACACCAGTTCTTTATGTTATTAAAGTCACCAACATGTAAGTTTAATACCAGTTGTCAAGTAAATAAATGATTGTTCTACACACAGTCTATAGCAACACTATTGATACACAAAAACAAAAACAAAAAAATCCTGCCTGCCCGGCCTTGAAAATTTTCCCATGTTAGGGGAAACCAACAATCATTTTTCCCTGGCCACAACAGCCCAGGTATCAGTTTGTATTTTGTTGTGTTCTAAATCTAATTACTTGAGTGACTTCCGATTTGTGAAATTTACAAAAAAATGTTTGATAAAGTGAATGATAATTGATATATATATATGTGCTAAGTCTTATCTGAAAGATCTTCAGGATTATAAATGTAAACAGTAGTTTCAAATTTGAATCATTGAATACATTTTTCTTCTAAATGTGGAAAACTACATGTTCATTTTGTCACTATTTGTAAAAAAAAATTCAAACAATTTTGTTTGACAATTGGTTCAGTATTATTCTGGTTTTACTGGTCCAACAAGCAATTTTGACGTTCAGATGTGTGTGGCTGTGTCCTTCATGAAGTCATATTTTATGATACATTGTATGTGTATAAGGCAAAAAACTACAGTATTTCATCTTGTTTCAGTTGAATTATTTCATAATACTATTTAAATTGACCTGATTGTTCAAAAAAAGCAATTTTTAGGAAAATGACCATAACAAAGAAATGTTGTCATTGTTTTGATAAGAACAATAAGTAATTTGTAATGTAATGAGGCTGTTATATAGGTGATGATTTCATGTATTGGTTTGATAGGTATTACCATTCATCACAGAATGCACAGTACTATAAATCAATATTCCTTAACGATAGCAGTGATCAACTTTAGTAATTGATTTTTTAATAAGGTAAAGAGCTGAGGATAAGAATCGCGTACAACATATGAGAAACAATATTATTACTTCATCGATAATTGTAGACACAGATGATCAGTTATCTTCAGGTTGATTTATTTCCTGTTGTAAACAGTATAATGAGACATTCTTCATAATAAGTATACTGAATAAAAAGAAATTACTGCTGAAGTCAAAGTATGCTGCTGTCAAATTCATGTCTGTTCATAAATTTATACCCGTGGTTGGTCAGGATTGAATTTGAATGATTTGAAGTTCCCAAGGTCTCAGATTTTGACTATATATAGATGATTTGATTTTCAGCCTTTACTGGACCAAAATCATCAGTGTTGCATTTTTTATTGACAGTTTTGTTTTTGTTTTGAGGCCCTAGTTTCTTAATATTTTTTAGGACATTAAGTCCAGTCATGTTTCACATTCACTAGGACCAGCTTGGTAAACATTATACCTGTTCTGTGTTTGGAAACTTGAAAATGCTACAGTTGTTTTTTTCAAAATCAGAAGTTTTAATTCAGGATATATGTAATTGAATTCTGAAAATACAATGCAACTGGCAAGGAAAGTTTAAAACTGCATGTTAAGCAGATTACAAAACATTTTTTATCTCGCCTTGACATAGTCAAAAAGCGAGTCATAGGTATGCTTTTTCCGGCGTAGGAGGCGGCATCAACAATGTATTAGTTTGTGATTAGGTCTAGTTCATGGTGAACCACTAGTGGTAGGTCAATGATATTTGGTATGCAGTTGTATTAGCATTGGCATATATCATTTCCATGGAGATTGTTTGGCCCCGCCCCCTCATTCATGGTCTATTGACTTTGAAACTTTTGCTTAGTTTTCATGTATTAGTTTGTGATTAGGTCAGTTAAGGGGAACCGTTAGTGGTAGGTCAATAATAATTGGTATGCAGTTGTATAAGCATTAGCACATCTCATTTTCATGGAGAATATTTGGTCCTTACCCCTCAGTCATGGTCTATTGACTTTGAAACTTTTGCTTAGTTTACATGTAGTTTGTGATTAGGTCAGTTTAAGATGAACCACTAATGTTAAGTCAATTATATTCGGTATGCAAATGTATTGGCATTTGCAAGTTTCATTTCCATGGAGATTATATAACCCCATCCCCTAATTATGGTTCACTGACTTTGAAACTTTTAGATAGTTTACAAGTTAATGTTTGTGTTTAGGTTTGTTTAAAGGGAACGAATTATGAAAAGTCAATGGTATTTGGTGTGCAGTTGTATTAGCATTGGCACATCTCATTTCCATGGAGATTGTTTAGCCCTAATGTTTGATTTCAACATTTGCATTATCAAAATAACAAATAGGCGAGACATATTTCTGTGTTAACAGTTTATGCCTTTTGATATGTTTATTTTTGTCATAAACATGATATAAGGATCTTTTTCAATTAAAATACATTTTTATATTAGGTGTTACCCTTGACCTTCCGTCCGTCTGTCCTTCCGTTTTCCTTCAGTCGGTACCAAAAGTATTTTCACATATTAATAGCAAGCTTGAGGGGGGCATTTGTGTCCTCAGACTCGTTCTTCTTTTATTTTTAATGAAAATCATTCTAATCATTTGTTCAACAGGTACAAAATGTACTTGTATCCCTGTCATGATATAAACACTGATTTTGCATGAAATCAGATGCATTTGTAATCATTAGTATAAGTTTATATATGACAATTCCTTGTACATTCATTGTTGTAAATAGCTGAATTTTATTTATTAAAATTAAGGTATCTGTCCACACCTTGTATTTGCAAGTATATTTAAACCAACAACATGGTTTCAATTTAACTTCCAGAGAATCTAGAGCCTAATGGAATTGTTGTTTTATTTTCTGACCAATGAAGAACTGAAATCAAGCAAATCACACATTGTTTAACAAAAAAAGTAAAAGCATAAATCAGAGTGAATAATCTAAACTGTTATAAACACTAAGGACAACCATAAAGAATCGTTATTACAAATATCATCATATGACAAAACTTTTCTTTTATTACCAATTATTTAAAAAAAAAACACATGATAAGACACTTTTACAGATTTATGGAAAGATTATTTATGTTACTTTGAAATCATAGTTTGCAACATTGATTTTAACTGTTATCTTACAGAAATGTGCCAAGCCTGTCCTAATCTGTTGTTTTTGTCTTGGTGATGAAAATAAAAACCGCAGTGGGGAACCAGAAGACCTCATATCCTGTGCTGATTGTGGTAACAGTGGTAAGTATCATAATATATTAACAAATATGTTTAAACAAATAACCATTATACTGTAAAGTTTAGTCTTGGATACTTCTTTTAAACTGCTTTGCATCAACTGACTACTCTCAGTCAGCCATGATGACTGTTCGTTATCATTTGCAATAGTTTTATACAGGCAGAGCCTCTTCAAAGGCCTATGGTTTTATACAGACCTCTTAAGATCCTGTCAGGTATAAAGGACTAAGTAATCGAAGGAATATTTTTCCCCTGTCCTGTGTTTTAATCAATTTCATAGAATGACTACTAAAAAATATTGCATTACATGTATATTGTAAGAAATCTGATGGGGAAAATTTGTTACTTTACCAAAAAATCATATAATACATGTATATAAATAAGGAGATGTGGTATGAATGCCAATTTGACAACTATCAACCAAGTTCAAATGAAGTGGATGTTAGCAATTATAGGCAACCGTAAGGCCTTCAGCAATGAGAAAAAAACCCGTTCTGTATAGTCCGTAATGAAAGGCCCTGACATGAAACATTTCAATTGAGAAAACTAATGCCTAATTTATAACAAAACAATTTACGAAAAACAAAATATGACAGACATGAACCAATGACAACCACTGAACTACAACCTCCTGACTTAATAACTGTTTTTATACGGCCGTTTACTGGACCTATTATAGTATACCGTTGTCCATCCTTCTGTCTGTCTGTCTGTCTGTCTGTTGTCAACATGTTGGACAATAACTCTAAAACACCTTCACCAATTTGCAAGAAACTTTGGCGAATTGTTTATATCTATTGACATGAGCTCCCTTTCGCTTTTTTATAAATTTTAGATTTTACGTTTCCAAGTTAGGGGGTTTTATTCATTAAAAAAGGGTGATTTTCCAGTTTTCGGACAATAACTCAAAAATGCTCTCAGCAGTTTTCATGAAACTTTGGTGAATTGTTTATATCTATTGACATAAGCTCCCTTTTGATTTTTATAAATTTTAGATTTTACGTTTCCGAGTTGTGGGATTTTATTCATAAAAAGGGGGTGATTTTCCAGTTTTGGGACAATATCTTTAAAGTGCTTTGCGCAGTTTTCATGAAACTTTGGTGACTGGTTTAAATCTATTAAGATAACCTCCCTTTAGTTTTTCATAAATTTCTGATATGACATTGAGAAGTTTTTAAACTTTATTCTTTGAAAAAGCGACGGGCGTATCATGCGCTCATGGCGCAGCTGTTTATTAGAAAATACCATGTGAAGTCAGTGGACTGATGATGGCCATAAATGGGATTATGTTTGAAAGTAGTTGGAAGACAAATTCCCAGTCTCCACACTCAGCCACAGGCCCACCAGCCCAGGCTTGTAACAATTTCTACTACAGGACAAAAGAATCTATACAAAAGTTTCATTACTTTATATTTGAATCATTGAATATCTTTTATTGCTATTTATGGTGTTATTTGATTTGATTTCCAGGTCACCCTACATGTTTGAAATTCTCACAAGATCTGACAGAAGTTGTGAAGTCTTTGAGATGGCAGTGTATTGAATGTAAAACCTGCTCTTTTTGTCAAAGATCTGGCAGAGAGGTATTATTTTCAATAGAGAACATTCTAAGAATTATGTTAAATGCTTTTCGATACCTTTATGATTATCTTGACTGTACAGTAGACTCCACCTAATCAGATATCGGCTAAACGAATATATCGGCTATTGTAATATTTTTTCAAAACACCAAACCCTTCCCTATATGTTTAATGTTAATTTTATCGTGTAATCGAATATCGGATATAAGAATATATCGGCAAATAGGATAAGAATATTCAGGAAATTTTGTTCAGAACCATGCACAATCGGATATTTTCACTGTTTTTCTTACAGGAAATGGAACCGGAAGTTACGAAATTACAATCTTGCAGACAAGAAAATTTAGTTTTTATACGACCGCAAAAATAAAAAATTTTTTGGTCGTATATTGGTATGACGTTGGCGTCGTCGTTGTCGTCTGGCGTCGTCCGAAGACACATTGGTTTTCGCACTCTAACTTTAGTTTAAGTGAATGGATCTCCATGAAATTTTACCATAAGGTTCAATACCACGAAAGGAAGGTTGGGATTGATTTTGGGGGTTATGGTACCAACAGTTAAGGAATTAGGGGCCAAAAAGGGGCCAAAAATAAGCATTTTTGTAACTTTCAGACAATAACTTGTGTGTAAGTGTATGGATCTCTCTGACATTGTACCACAAGGTTCCATATCACAAAGGGAAGGCTGTAATTGATTTTGGGGGTAATTGCCTCAAAATTTTAGGAATTAGGGGCCAAAAAAGGGGCAAAAAACAAGCATTTTTCTAGTTTCATGACAATAACTTGTGTGTAAGTGTTTGGATATTTCTGAAATTGTACTACAAGGTTTCATATCACAAAGGGAAAGCTGGAATTGAGTTCGGGGGTAATTGCCTGAAACGTTTAGGAATTGGGGGCCAAAAAGGGGCCAAAAATAAGCATTTTTCTAGTTTCAAGACAATAACTTGTGTTCAAGTGTATGGATCTCTCTGAAATTGTACTGCAAGGTACCATACCACAAAGGGAAGGCTGGGATTGAGTTTGGGGTTGATGAATCATAAGGGGTTCAAAAAATTTGGGGGGGGGGGGGGGATTTTTTTTTTTTTCTTTTTTTTTCTTTTTTTCCTTTTTTTTTTCTTTTAAAATTTTCCGTTTTAAGTTGGTTATTTCTGATTTATATTTAAAAACAAATAATAATGATATGGTAGGAGATATACACCAAACAGGATGTGTAAATTTTTATATAATAAGTATTGTGCAATAGCAAGAAATTTTCAATTGCACAGTATTGCACAACAGCAAGAAATCTTCAATTGCACAGTATTGCGCAATAGCAAGAAATCTTCAATTGCACAGTATTGCGCAATAGCAAGAAATATCCAATAGCACAATATTGCGCAATAGCAAGAAATTGTCAATTGTACAGTATTGCGCAATAGCAAGAAATATTCAATTGCACAGTATTGTGCTAAAGAAGATACTTCTTATAAATTGCTTATTTCTTGATCAATTTCAATGGGGTTTTATTCTTGAATTCTTGGGGTTCTTTAATATGCTGAATATAAACGTGTATTAAGTTTTTGGATTTTGGGCCCCGTTTTTAAATTGGTCCACATTGAGGTCCAAAGGGTCCAAAATTTAACTTTGTTTGATTTCATCAAAAATTGAATTATTGGGGTTCTTTGATATGCCGAATCTAACCGTGTATTTAGATTCTTAATTTTTGGTTCCGTTTTCAAATTGGTCTACATTAAGGTCCAAAGGGTCCAAAATTAAACTTAGTTTGATTTTAACAAAAATTGAATTTTTAGTGTTCTTTGATATGCTGAATCTAAACATGTATTTAGATTTTTGATTATGGGCCCAGTTTTCAAGTTGGTCCAAATCGGGGTCCAAAATTAAACTTTGTTTGATTTCAACAAAAATTGAATATATGGGGTTCTTTGATATGCTGAATCTAACCATGTATTTAGATTTTTGGGCCCCGTTATCAACTTTGTCCACATTGAGGTCAAAAGGGTCCAAAATTTTACTTTGTTTGATTTCATCAAAAATTGAATTATTGGGGTTCTTTGATATGCCAAATCTAACCGTGTATTTAGATTCTTAATTTTTGGTTCCGTTTTCAAATTGGTCTACATTAAGGTCCAAAGGGTCCAAAATTAAACTTAGTTTGATTTTAACAAAAATTGAATTTTTAGTGTTCTTTGATATGCTGAATCTAAACATGTATTTAGATTTTTGATTATGGGCCCAGTTTTCAAGTTGGTCCAAATCGGGGTCCAAAATTAAACTTTGTTTGATTTCAACAAAAATTGAATATATGGGGTTCTTTGATATGCTGAATCTAACCATGTATTTAGATTTTTGGGCCCCATTATCAACTTTGTCCACATTGAGGTCAAAAGGGTCCAAATTAAACTTTGTTTGATTTCATAAAAAATTGAATTCTTGGGGTTCTTTGATATGCTGAATCTAACCATGTATTTAGATTTTGGATATTGGACCATAATAGGTGAATGTCCAATTTAAAATTTTTAAGTTCTTAGACCACATTCATTCTGTGTCAGAAACCTATGCTGTGTCAAATATTTAATCACAATCCAAATTCAGAGCTGTATCAAGCTTGAATGTTGTGTCCATACTTGCCCCAACTGTTCAGGGTTCGACCTCTGCGGTCGTATCAAGCTGCGCCCTGCGGAGCATTTTATTACTGAATAAAAAGGAACTATTTTTTAATAAATTGTTGTCTTTATTCATTGTCTTCCTTTGTAAAGTGAATTAGATGCCCTCTAAAATAGTTTGAATTTATTTATAAAATATACAAGAGCAGTACGTTGGGAGAATTTTGATAAAACTCTAAATCCTCACAGAATCAGAAATATAATTTAAACTGAATGTGTCTCCTTCTGAATAATTTATTGCAATATACATATAAATCCCTTTTGAAAAGAGAAATCTGACTTTTGTCAGATATAATTTTGTATCATTTGCATGACCACATGTCATGGACGCCATTTTGTTTTGTTTACAAAATGTGAAGAAGCCTCGAGAACCATGACCTAAACAGTCTTCAGAAAACTTTATCAATCATGATTATATATCTTCATAAATTTAAATTTGATTATTTAAAGAAATAAAATATATAACAAATACGATTCTAGTTTAGAGACTGCAGTGTACACAGACCATGGTTTGATCTATTTATAGCCCAATTAGCTTACCTGTGATATATGTAAATAATGGATATTAATTCGTTTACAAAACAAATAAAGACACAAACTATGGATGGTAGATAGTTATTCACATAAATATTTCAGGACATTTTATTTATTTTAATAAATATAGGATTTTAAATTGAAAACAAATATAAGCACTAAATGACCAGCTGATAATTTTTATGCCCCCGCCGTAGCAGAGGGGGCATTAAGATTTTACCCTTGTCCGTCCCAAAGTTGGTTTCCGTTCTCTAACTTTAGTTTGCCTCAACCAATGTTATGAAACGTATACACAATGCTTATTACCACAAAATACAGATCAAGTTCGAATTGGGTGGGGTTACTTGTACCGTTCCTGAGTTATGCCCCTTTATAAACATAAAAACTGCTGAATTTTTCATTTCCGTTTCTAACTTTAGTTTGCCTCAACCAAATGTTATGAAATTAATACACAATGCTTATTACCACAAAATACAGATCAAGTTTGAAATTGGGTGGTGTCACTTTAACCGTTCTAGAGTTATGCCCCTTCACAAATGGGAAAATTACTGAATTTTTCGTTTCCGTTCTCTTTAGTTTGCCTCAACCAAATGTTATAAAACTTATACACAATGCTAATTACCACAAAATACAGATCAAGTTTGAATTTTGGTGGTGTCACTTTTACTGTTCTAGAGTTATGCCTGTTTACAAATGGAAAAATTGCTGAATTTTTCGTTTCTGTTCTCTAACTTAAGTTAGCCTCAACCAAATGTTATGAGACTTATACACAATACTTATTACCACAAAACTCAGATCAAGTACAAATTTGGGTAGCATCACTTTTACTGTTCTTCAGTTATGTCCCTTTATAACTTTATATGATATGCAAGCAGGGGCATCATCTGTGTCCCATGGACACATTCCCCATTTATTTACACAAACATTGTGGTGATGTAACTGATAAAAATCACTCCAGCACTTTCTTATATATAGCAGTAGTCAGGGCTAGTAACATCTCAGGATTAGGTCTACTCATTATTGCAGAATATTCAATGAATATACATTTATCGTCTTAATTGAATATATCGGATAATGGGATATTTTTTGCTGACATTTTGGGTATCTGATTTGCCGCAGTCTACTGTACTAACCATTATTAGTGATTTTATTGGGTCAAATAGTGGTAGACAATAAAAATTATGTATATATATTAATGTATGAAGAGATTCATTAAAAAATTTCTATAGATTTAAAACCAAACTATATTTAAATGATAAGTGATAATGTTGTTTTCAAAATTAAGTTGAATTAAAACTATTATACCCAACTTCTTCATTCAAATAGTTTTAACTCTTGAGAGTACAAAGTAATATACTAGTATTTAAACTTGAATAATTTGTTGGGAAAGAGGCTCAAAGTTACAATGCAAATGATCAGGGTAGGAAACTCACTGGAAATGTCTACCAGACCACAGGGCTGGCTGCATAAAAAAACTCCCTGTCCTGATCAAAATTTACCAGCCCTGAAAATTAATGCAATAAAAATCCAACCCATTTTCCTTCAAGATTCTAAATTATGTTTTTGTGTTTTGAGATGTTTTAATGACTAGAAGTATTATTAGATAAACTTGAGGATTTTTTGTGATGAAAATGACTTATGACTGCTTTTGTAAATACACACTGCAACAAGACTTACAAGTGCAAAATATTTTACCATGCGAGTCGTCACAAATCAACCACTCGAACTCCGTTTTCCAACCATGAACAATTGTCCGCTTCCTTTTAGACTGATCGTACAATTTATTTTTTTCTGTTGAGTCAACAGCAGTTCGCTTTTTCGGTGACGAAAGGGCTAAGTACTGTCGTAAAGACATGAGTTTACCAAAACAAATTTGTACTTTTGATTTCCTCTAATATTTATTTTTTATTTAATGAACGCGATCGCGATTGGACGATTCCATACCAACTAGCCAATGAGTGCGGATCTTACAAACAACAGGTATCACCATGTTCCCTGCAGAAATCGCGTGGAAACACGTGGTAGTAAAAAGTTAATTGGCAGTCATGATTCTTACATGCTGTTATGAATGGGGTCATACTGAGAACTCATTCCAAAAATAGAAAAAGGTAATCCCAACCACCTGCAAAATATAGACCGTCCACCGGACTGTTGAAATTTAATTATTGACTGCCCAATTGTAAAATAGGCCGTCTCGGGCGGGCTATAATTTCGAACTCTGAAATGATATTTTTTATGCCCCTGCCGTAGCAGAGGGGGCATTAAGTTTTACCCTTGTCCGTCTGTACGTGTGTTCTCTAACTGGAGTTTGCCTCAACCAAATGTTATGAAACTTATACACAATGCTTATTACCACAAAACACAGATCAATTTTGAATTTTGGTGGCGTCACTTTAACTGTTCTAGAGTTATGCCCCTTTATAAATGGAAAAGTTGCAAAATTTTTAGTTTCTGTTCTCTAACTTAAGTTGCCCCAACCAAATGTTATGAAACTTATACACAATGCTTTTTACCACAAAATACAGATCAAGTTGAATTTTGGTGGGGTCACTTTAAACATTATCGAGTTATGCCCCTTTGAAAATCGAAAAATTGCAAAATTTTTAGTTTCCGTTCTCTAACTTAAGTTTGTCCCAACCAAACATTATGAGACCTATACACAATACTTATTACCACAAAACTCAGATCAAGTACAAATTTGGGAAGCGTCACTTTTACCGTTCTTGAGTTATGTCCCTTTATAATGTTGTATGCAAGCGGGGGCATCATCTGTGTCCATGGAGACACATTCTCCATTTATTTTTTATATCTTAGTAATCTGACGACTTTTTTTATGTATTTACAAATTGACATTTATCTTTCTTTGCAGGATAACATGTTATTTTGCGATACCTGTGACAGAGGCTTCCATATGGAATGTTGTGATCCACCTCTAACTAAAGCCCCTAAAGGTAAATATGAAAAATGAACAGAAAAAAATATTCTACACATTTTTTATGCCCCCTCTGTAGCGGAGGGGGCATTAAGTTTCACCCTTGTCCATACGTCCAAAGATTGGTTTCCGTTCTCTAACTTTAGTTTGCCTCAACCATAAGTTATGAAACTTATACACAATGCTTATTACCACAAAACACAGATCAAGTTTGAATTTTGGTGGCGTCACTTTTACCATTCTAGAGTTATGGCTATTTACAAATGGAAAAATTGCTGAAATATTCGTTTCTGTTCTCTAACTTTAGTTTGCCTCTACCAAATGTTATGAAACTTATGCACAATGCTAATTACCACAAAACACAGATCAAGTTTGAATTTTGGTGGTGTCACTTTTACCGTTCTAGAGTTATGCCCTTTACAAATGGAAAAATTGCTGAAATGTTCGTTTCCGTTCTCTAACTTTAGTTTGCCTCAATTAAATGTTATGAAACTTATAAACAATGCTTATTACCACAAAACTCTGATCAAGTACAAATTTGGGTAGCGTCACTTTCTGGTTCATAAGTGGGAAACAAATTCTAAAATAAATAGTTTTACTGGTTATCATTTTTTGTTAAATAACATTTTAATTTTGAACCTTTAAATATATAAAATTATCAAGTTGGTACATATGTGTATTAATATATAATGATGGTTACATGTAGCATTGGGATATATATCAACCGTCCATCTATAAAAAATAAAAGGCAATGACAAAATGTTGTATTGAATTTTTTATCTGTAGGCAAATGGAAGTGCAATATTTGTGACCCTAACCGGGGTAATAAAAAAGGAAAGAAATATTTAGAGATGGTGAACAGATTGAAAGAAAAGTACAGAAACAAGGAAAAAATCAAGTTAAAAAGACCGGCTAAGAAGTTTTTTTCACAGAAGAAACATGATTTGATAAAGTATGTAATGTTATTATTATTCAGGTAACTAAATAAAGTATGTAATGTTATTATTATTCAGGTAACTAAATAAAGAATGTAATGTTATTATTATTCAGGTAACTGTAAATAAAGTATGGAATTATCATTCAAGTCTTTGATTTTGAAGTATTCTTTGCACAACATTGCATGCAATTTGCTTCTTAGTCACCTGGCCCAAGGGCCAAGTGAGCTTTTCTCATCACTTGGCGTCTGTCGTCCGTTAACTTTTACAAAAATCTTCTCCTCTGAAACTACTGGACCAATTTTCACTTGGCCATAATCATCACTGGGGTATCTAGTTTATAAAATGTGTCTGATGACCCTGTCTGCCAACCAAGATGGCGGAGGGCTGAAAATAGAACATAGGGGTAAAATGCAAGTAGAGAGAAACTAAACAGACTAAATGATCAGCAATACAAAATCAACAAAACAGAGATTTTTGTCATGAATTCTGTTCTCGTCTACAATTTGAGAGTGTCCTTTGTTGAATATGCACATAGACCAATGTGAGCGACACAGGCTCTTTAGAGCCTCTAGTTTACTGTACAAATAAAAGTGTACAATTGTGTGATATTTATATAGTATATAAAAATTAGGTCTAGGACAAAAGTCCTACCCCAGATAAAAGCCCCGTAGTTGTATAATATATCTTTTCAGTTATGCTAAATTCACTAAGGGGAATTTTAAGCTACTTTCATAAAGAGAATTGGACCTGAAATTAAAATTTCTTAATTAAGCACTTCGTATGTAAAAACATTACAACAATTTAAAACTATTTCACAAGTTTACAAAAATATACCAGATATGAAATAATGCTCATCCTATGTATCACATTTTATAGTTTCCACAAAAGAGATCGGCATCATGAATAACTCTCTTAAACCAGAGATTGGATTTTATTTAAACATTTCCAGAATATGTTTTCCATAATGCCATTGTGTATCTCCATTTCATTTATTTTTATTTTTATGGTCAAAAGGATTTTTGAGGTTTACATAAATTGTTGTATATGCAAAATGGGTAGACATCTTTTATCTACAACTGACTGGATTTCAGTGAATTTGCATGATAATTATAAAGAAGTGTACTTTTTATCAAAATTTTTGCACACAATGGCCACCTGCCATGTTTCTTTTAGGGTTGTTGCAACTCTTTTTGTCCATCAATAAATAGTAGCATTCATTAATGCACATTATGATTTATGAATTTACAATGATTGTTTATAAATAAGCTACATTGAAGGAAACTGGAATTACAGCAGAATGCATTGAGTGTGTAGGTAAAGGTAGAATCTTTTGGTTAGCTTGCTTGTTAGCTGAACCGCGAAGTCATTATTAGGTTAGGTATACTACCCTCCTTTCGGAGTAGTATAGTCCTACAGACAGATAGATTGGTTATCGGTCGGACTAGTCTTCTCTTAAAGGAGGGTAGTATACCTAACCTAATAATGACTTCACGGTTCAGCTAACAAGCAAGCTAACCAAAGATATTACCTTTACCTACACACTCAATGCATTCTGCTGTAAATGAATACCCATTATGATTACTGTATGACCAATTTATTTTTGATTTTTGTATTGTAGATGTCCAACACCAGGTTGTGATAGTACAGGGAATGTAAATGGAAAATCAAATGTTCATCGGTCGTAAGTTGTCTACCCACTACATTTATTTCATGTGTCTTGTTTTAACATTTTTTCAAGTCTTTTTTGTCTCGCCTGCGGCTCTTGTCGCAGTATGCCAGACATAAATATTACTATCCGTCAGCAGCAGTGAAAACTATTTGTATAAAGCTTTATATTTCAGAAGGTAGGAGACCTGGATACTTAATACCTTTTATGCAGATAACTTATGTTACGAAGTTTCCGTCTGTCATATTTCCATTGTCCTCATTTTCATGGTTCAGCATCTGCTTGAAAAAAAAATATTGTTATTTGGTCGTGATTTTCTCAGCTATTATGAGTATATTTGGTATATGGGTTCCTTGCAACGTCTACATGTCCTTCATACAGGGTTCGCCTGACCTTCACCTCATTTCATGGGTAAGTGATCAAAGTTAAAAGTTAAGTGATTAGGTCTGTTTCTCAATTACTATAAGCAGTAGGTCAACGATATGTGATGTAAGGGACGATTTTAAGGGGTACATGTCTGTCTGGCAGGTTTCATCTGACCTTGACCTCATTTTCATGGTTCATTGGTCAATGTTAAGTTTTTGTGTTTTGATCTGTTTTCAGGTACTATAAGTAATAGGTCAACTATATTTGGTGAATGACTGTATTAGTTAGTTTATTTCTAACCAGAAGCAATACAGCTTATAGGTATATCATAAATATATACAAGCATATCATAACAGAACATTTTAAATACAATCGGAGGCAAGACTACAAAGTATAAATCATTCAAAGGATTGTCCTGAAAATTTTATGTCTGTGGCGTATGTTAAATATTTTCCTAAATTAGACAATTCCTTTACATTGATTGTTGACAATAACTAAACTAATTTAAGAACAGATGCATTTGTATAATAATACCTTTTAATATACAATTTTCTTATAATGTCATATTTTTGGCATTTTGAAATGAAATGAAATTCATCCTCAATATCACCATGGTTACATAAAATACATAATCTATCATTTCTTGGTCTTTTTATGAATCTACCATATTCAATATTTAGCTTATGTGAACAAAGTCTATACTTAGTTAAGAATCTAATACATTGTAAGGTGTACAGTCTGTCTGGCAGATATCATCTGACTTTGACCTCATATTCATGGTTCATTGGTTAATGTTAAGTTTTTGTGTTTTGGTCTGTTTTTCAATTGCCATAAGCAATAGGTCAACTATATTTGGTGTATGGAGTAATTGTAAGGTGTGCATGTCTGTCTGACAGGAGTTATCTGACCTTGAGCTCATTGTCATAGATCTTTAAATATGTTACTTTATGTGATACTTTTAGTAAAACTTTTATCTTTAAGACTTTCAGCGTAACATCAATGGTCTGTTAAGTAGGCGAGACATATCAGCGTGTGCACTCTTGTTGTTTTATATGTAAGATTTTAGAAACTTTGGTTTGTAGGTTAGTTGAGCTATGCCCCTTGAAAATATTAATTATATGGAAAACTGTATTGTTAGTGCTCTCACATGTACAATTCTTGCCAGATTTTTATCAAACAATAGGTTTATATCAGCAATGTTGCATTTCAAAAATAAAAACTTTTTTAAAGAGATATGTCCTTTGGAAATATTAATTATATGGAAATTTGCATTGTAAGTGCTCTCGTGTGTACAATTCTTGCCAGATTCTTATCAAATTTATATCAGCAATGTCTCAGACAAGTTAGAAAATCAGTGCTGATCAGCTATTTTTATGCCCTTTGAAAGATCAATTATATGGATAATTGCATTTTTAAAGTGCTCTCAAAGACTACATTTCACTTAGATATTTATAAAAAGATAAAAAAACAAACTAAATTTTGTTTGTTTGTTATTGCCCTTGAATAGATAAAATATGTGCAACACAGGGAACATTGGTTGGAACTCTGTTATTTTATATATTATTTATAGTGTGTAATAGTAGATATTGTTATAGCAAGATTACAATATAGACTGACATAAAATAGTTTGCATAACATACATTTTACATTGTAGGAGGTTGTTTTGTCCTTTAGTCACACCCGAACAGAGGAAAAGATATAAACTTGAAAAGAAATATACTGACAACAATGGACAATATGATTCTGATTCAGAGTTTGAGGATAGGGGTAATTCAAAAAAAGAGATAAAGAAACCTTATGATTACTCCAGTGATTCAGGGAGTGAAAATGGAGAAGTTGGGAACACCTTTGACCCATTTTTTGCCATTAGCAAACCTAAAGGTCTTGTTGATGGTTTAACACAATTTTTTACTCCATCAAACAAGCGTACATCCCGTGTTTCATTAAATGCTGCATGTGCAGACTTTCCTTCCATTCCAGTCAAAAACAAGCATTCAAAATCCCAGCAAGCTGCTAGTCGGCTGCTGAAAAGATCTAAACTTGTGCAAGCCAACAAACATTGTATTAAGAAAAATAAGTTTGGTAATGCCATCACTAATCGCTTCCCAAAAACATTCACAAGAAAATCAAACTTTAATCCTCAATTCCATAGTTCTATATTGGAAAGTAGGGATAGTTCATCTGACAGGGAGAGTTTAAATGACGATTCCATTGACTTTACAACCATTGTGAAAAGAGGGCGTGGAAGGTCATTTACAAGAGGCAGAGGAAGGGGAAGAGGACGAGGTAGAGGATTTGGAACGCTTCTAAGTGGAACAACAATATTTGGAAGAGGAAGAGGATTTGGACGTCCTCCTGGACCAGGACGTGGTAGAGGGTTTGGTCGTCCAGGAAGACCGTTTGGTAGAGGTAGACCATTTGGTAGAGGTAGACCATTCAGTAGAGGTAGACCGTTCAGTAGAGGTAGACCATTTGGTAGAGGTAGACCATTCAGCAGTGGCATTAATAGGAAAGCATTCTTGGATGATTCAGATGACTTTACCATGTTAAAAAGAATATCTCAACTTGACAAACCCTCACCTGGTAGGGGACGAGGTCGTGGACGGGGACGAGGTCGTGGTAGTTCTTCTGTTGCCAGCAATGAGCATTGCCACGGTAAGAATCAATGCTGCTTTTCTTGCCATCACATAACTGCATCTCTCATGTAGACGCTGGTGCATGCTGTAAAGATAAAGGAATGTAGTATATGCATGTGTGTATTGTCTGGCAAATGGTTCAAAGGTGCCCCAACCTCTCTCACTGCAGAGCATTTTTGCCCATGTTGTCAATTGTTTCTCTTTGTTACAAGTCATTCATGATAAGATTCAGTTAAAGTAACTTTCAATAAGTGTGTTCTGGATTTTGATCCTTTTGCATGTTATTTTAGTTTGTTAGTATGTTTGGTGGTATTACCTGCATGTTAAATTGTTTACAAACACACAAAATAAGAAGGACCACATTTGTTAAGGTGTCCATAGAATTTTTTTTTTTAAAATAACTTTTACATTCATGTTGAGATTTCAGTGAACACCTTCATTTTTGGAAAATTTTCATTTCAAATTCTTTAGGAAGGTATCTAGATACTTGAAGCTTTCTTATTTTGTATGTTTGTTAGTGTAGAATTTATTGATTATCTTTATGAGCACTCAGTTGTTGATTCATTACATTAATTGATAATAACTAATACATTGTAAGTGTTCAAACTAACAAAAAGTGTCATGTCTCCTTAAACTAAAAGTTGTAATCTAACATTACTATTCAATATATATTGTGAAGATTACAAATCATTTACGGCCCTCAATCTTTTAAAGTAACCACATATACTTCAGGTCTACAGTGTCAATATGCTAATGAAATAAATATCACTGAAAATTTCTTCAGATTTTTCTTTTTCATATATATTTGACATTTTGTTTTAAAAACAGAATGTATTTTAAATTTATATATAAAAATGAGGTCACATTTCATGTACTATAATCATTACAGAAGTCAAGAGTTAGAATAGAAACTTACTTTGAGGCACATCATATTATTGAGAAGTTTTCTCTGTGTGTCCAATAAAAGGAAGAAATATTTGTGTTGAACTTTGTTTTGTGGTGTTTTCTTTTGATATATAAATAAGGAGATGTGGTATGACCTTAAATGAGACAACTTTTCAAATAAACTCATCATAGATACCAGGATTAAAATTTTGTGTTCCATACGGGCGTTTTGTCTACAAACGACTCATCAGTGACGATGAATAAAAAAAATTAAAAAGGCCAAATAAAGTAGGAACTGAGATCAAAGGATGAAGAGTAAACAAATGTAGGGCGCTCTTTCATTAAAGAATTAGCATTGAAAACCAGAATAACTTGTCAAGTTTATAAGAAAAGATGCAAGAATTTGAAATAAGACATAAAAACAAAAATGTACATGTAAAATTGGCTGTTGCTTGTAAACAATAATTTACCAATCTTTTCTTAAGAATCAATATTAAGTAAAATTATAGTATGGTATTTTGTTAATTGTTCTTTTATTGTTATAGGACTTTTCTATTATAGTTAGAATATCATTGTATTAAATGAATCAGCAACTGTATATTTTGTTTATTCTTGAACATAAGCCATACATGTATTAACCAATTTTCTTGCAATTGGTCAAGTTAAGAATTAAGATGTTATCAAAATCTACATTCCGGTGATGAAGGTTGGTTGAAGTAAATTTTCCTATGATATACTTCAACCAGAGAAGTTTTGGTGTTTGCATCTGAATTATTTTATAAAGCTCAGATAAAGTAGAAATGACGTACCATAAGAAAATTTGTTAACGGTAACCTGTATTGTTTATTCTATAAAGTCTTCTAGAACCAAACCATAGTAAAACCAATGCTATTAAAAACTGAGAATATATTAGCAAAAATTGTTTGGTAAAAGGATATTTAATTGTTAAGTATGTACAAGATAATAGAACTCAACAGATTCATTCTAACCTTGTTGGCAAGTAAGCTGTAATTAACCATGCTTACAGAATAATATATACCAACTTTACTTTAAGACCTGTGTAAGATAAACATTCCATGTTTTGTGTATCCTTTTATTCTGATGGTTTAAAGAAGGTTTTACATTTCTTAATTCTAATTTCAATGTATTACGATGTCATTTTTGCATGCATAAATATTATTTAGAACATTAAAGATAATTTAGATATGAATATGAACTGTTGAGCCCTTTCAATAAACTTTTAATACTATTGAATTTTACTAAATATTATGAGTAATTCATTTATTGATCTGATGACTTAAACAGTAACTTGTGTTCACTTTCAGAAAGTCCTCCACAAAAACCACCAAGAGAGCTTCCACCAAATGTTACAGATACTGACAAGGATTTGTTTAAGCAGGCACAGGAAAAGGCTCAGGAAGTTTTGAAGCAGGTTTGTATTTATGATGTGTGATGCAAACATGATGAATTCAACCTGCATGGTTTGAAAAGTAAAGAAATTCCTGCTAATGCTGTTCTAGTTTCACAAGGGGAATTTTTCATCTTTAGCCACATGAATGAAATAAGTTCATTTTATAGTTCATAAATATTTTTATGCCCCCGCCGTACCGGAGGGGGCATTAAGTTTTACCCTTGTCCGTCTGTACGTACGTACGTACGTACGTACGTCCCGAAATTGGTTTCCGTTCTCTAACTTGAGTTTGCCTCAACCAAATGTAATGAAACTTATACACAATGCTTATTACCACAAAACACAGATCAAGTTTGAATTTTGGTGGCGTCACTTTAACCGATCTAGAGTTATGCCCCTTTATAAAAGGAAATATTGCATAATTTTTAGTTTCCGTTCTCTAACTTAAGTTTGCCTCAACCAAATGTTATGAAACTTATACACAATGCTTATTACCACAAAACACAGATCAAGTTTGAATTTTGGTGGTGTCACTTTAACCGATCTAGAGTTATGCCCCTTTATAAAAGGAAAAATTGCAAAATTTTTATTTTCTTCTAAATATCAAGTTTATATAATATATTTTTATACGACCGCAAAAAAATTTTGTGGTCGTATATTGGTATGACGTTGGCGTCGTCGTCGTCGTCGTCGTCCGGCGGCGTCGTCCGAATACACAATGGTTTTCGCACTCTAACTTTAGTTTAAGTGAATGGATCTCTATGAAATTTTACCATAAGGTTCAATACCACAATAGGAAGGTGGGGATTGATTTTGGGGGTTATGGTACCAACAGTTAAATAATTAGGGGCCAAAAAGGGGCCGAAAATAAGCATTTTTGTAACTTCCAGACATAACTTGTGTGTTATTGTATGGATCTCTTTGACATTGTACTACAAGATTCCATATCACAAAGGGTCGATGATGGGATTGATTTTGGGGTTAATTTCCTCGAAATTTTAGGAATAAGGGGCCAAAAGGGGGCAAAAAACAAGCATTTTTCTAGTTTCATGACAATAACTTGTGTGTAAGTGTATGGATCTTTCTGAAATTTTACTACAAGGTTCCATTTCGCAAAGGGAAAGCTGGAATTGAGTTTTGTGGTAATTGCCCAAAACGTTTAGTAATAAGGGGCCTAAAAAGGGGTGAAAAATAAGCATTTTTTAGTTTCTAGACAATAACTTGTGTTCAAGTGTATGGATCTCTCTAAAATTGTATTACAAGGTACCATACCACAAAGGCAAGGCTGTTATTGAGCTTGGTTTGGGGGGGGGGGGGGGGGGGGGGGGGGTGATGAATCATAGGGGGGGGGTCAAAAAAGGGGTAATTATTTTTTTTTGTTTAAGGAATAAGGGGAAAAAAGGTTAAAAAACTAGGGTTTCCATTTTAATAGACAAATAATTGAGTAAAGAACATTATTTAAAAGCAGTGTAAGGTTGGTAATTCAAATTCATTTAAATATCTCACCTGCACTATGTTTGAATTATGTAAATTGGAAATTTGCCAATTATTTTAGTATAATAAACTTCATTGGAAATTTGCCAATATAATATTTTGCTGATGAAGGTTTTTTGTTTACCTTTAGTCTGACTATGATGTCATTTTCTATTTTAATAGCCTTATGATGTAGTTAAATTTTTTTTAATACTTTTATGATGTATTTTAATGCGCTTTTATGGTTGCAAATTTATTGTTTTAATATAATAAACTCCATTGGAAATTTACCAATAGTTTGTTTATTTTTAGCTATGACTATGATGTCATTTTCTATTTAATTTTAAGGTTACAAATTAATTTCAGTTTTAAATATTATTGTAAAATGTTTGCCCAAAACATTTATTAATAAGTGGCCAAAAAAGGGGGCAAAAATAAGCATTTTTTTAGTTTCCAGACATTAACTTGTGTTCAAGTGTATGGATTTCTCTGAAATTGTACTTAAAGGTACCATACCACAAAGGGAAGTGGGTCAAAAAAATTTTTGGGGGGGGGGGGATTTTTTTTCCTTTTTTTTTTCTTTAAAATTTTCCATTTTAAGTTGGTTAATTCTGATCACAAAGAGAAAGTTGGAATTGAGTTTGGGGGATAATTGCTCAAATGTTTAGGAATAAGGGGCTAAAAAAGGGGTTAAAAATAAGCATTTTTTTTTTTAGTTTCCAACAATTAATTGTGTTTAAGTAATTGGATCTCTGTGAAATTGTACTGCAAGGTACCATACCACAAACTGAAGGCTGGGATTGAGTTTGGGGGGGGGGGGGGGGGGGGCGTGATGTGTGAAAATTTTCCACTTAAAGTTGGTTAATTATTTCTGATTTAGATATAAAAGCAAATAATAATGATGTGGTTTGATTTTATCAAAAACTTAAATTGAAGTTATGTATATTGTAAATTTAGGTTACATTGGAATTTAAGAATTGGCTTTGGGGTAGGGTTATGGCTCAAACCTTTAAATAATAAGGGAAAAAAAGGTGAAAAAACAAGGGTTTCCAGGTTAATAGACAAATAAGTACAAAACATTATTTAAAAGCAGTGTAAGGTTGGTAATTCAAACTCATTTAAATATCTCACTTACACTGCTTTTAAATTATGTAAATTGGAAATTTGCCAATAACTTTATTGTTAATAAATGCATTGGAAATTTGCCAACAATTTTAGTATAATAAACTTCATTGGAAATTTGCCAATATAAAATTTTGCTGATGAAGGTTTTTTGTTTACCTTTAGCCTTGACTATGAAGTCATTTTCTATTTTTATAGCCTTATGATGTAGTTGAATTATTTAATACTTTTATGATGTGTTTAAATGGGGTTTTATGGTTGCAAATTTATTGTTTTAGTTTAATAAACTCCATTTAAAATTTGGTAATAAAAAAAATTTTTGTTTATTTTTAGCTATGATTATGATGTCATTTTCTATTTTACTTTTATGGTTGCAAAGAAATTTTTATTTTTAGATATTACTGTTAAATGATGCTGATTAAGGTTTTTGCTATGTTTAGCCATGACTATGATGTCATTTTCTATTTTAATATCTGTCATGATGTATTTAATGGGCTTTTATGGTTACAAAGGAATTTTATTTTTAGATATTACTGTAAAATGTTGCTGATTAAGGATTTTGTTTATTTTTAGCCATGACTATGATGTCATTTTCTATTTTAATACCTTTATTATGTAATTTCCACTTTTAGATATAACTGTTAAATGATGCTGATTGAGGGTTTGAATGCTGGGATTGATTTTGGGGGTAATTGCCTCCAAATTTTAGGAATTAGGGGGCAAAAAACAAGCATTTTTCTAGTTTCATGACAATAACTTGTGTGTAAGTGTATGGATATTTATGAAATTGTACTACAAGGTTCCATATCACAAAGGGAAAGCTGGAATTGAGTTTGGGGGTACTTGCCCAAAACGTTTAGGAATAAGGGGCCAAAAATAAGCATTTTTCTAGTTTCCAGACAATAACTTGTGTTCAAGTGTATGGATCTCTCTGAAATTGTACTGCAAGGTACCATACCACAAAGGGAAGGCTGGGATTGTTTTTGGGGGTAATTGTCTCAAAATGTTAGGAATTAGGGGCCATAAAGGGGCAAAAAAACAAGCATTTTTCTAGTTTCATGACAATAACTTGTGTGTAAGTGTATGGATCTTTATGACATTGTACTGCAAGGTTCCATATCACAAAGGGAAAGCTTGGTTTGAGTTTGGGGGTAATTGCCCTAAACTTTTAGGAATTTGGGGCCAAAAAGGTGCAAAAAACCCAAGCATTTTTCTAGTTTCCAGACAATAATTTGTGTTCAAGTGTATGGATCTCTCTGAAATTGTACTGCAAGGTACCATACCACAAAGGGAAGGCTGGGATTGAGTTTCGGGGTGATGAATCATAAGGGGGTTTCAAAAAATTTGGGGGGGGGGGGGGGGTTTCCTTTTTTTTCTTTAAAATTTTCCATTTTAAATTGGTTATTTCTGATTTATATATAAAAGCAAATAATAATGATATGGTTTGAATAGGTAAATTAAAAAATTTTAAGTTCTTAGACTACTTTCATTCTGTGTGAGAAACCTATGCTGTGTCAAATATTTAATTACAATCCAAATTCAGTGCTGTATCAAGCTTGAATGTTGTGTCCATACTTGCCCCAACTGTTCAGGGTTCGACCTCTGCGGTCGTATCAAGCTGCGCCCCAGCGGAGCATTTTATTAAAATTGGAGTTATCTTCCTTTGACCATGATTATAGTTGAATCAACTACAATCAATGCTTTATACAATGCAATGTTTAATTTTGACTACCACTGATAAAACACAGATCAAGTTGAATTTGGGTAGTGTCACTTTAACCATTATTGAGTTATGCCCCTTTATAAATAGAAAGATTGCAAAATTTTTTAGTTTCCATTCTGTAACTGAAGTTTTCCCCAGCCAAAGATTGTGAAACCTATACACAATATTCATTCCAACAAAACTCAGTAAAGATCAAGTACATTTTTTTTGTTTCAGTTCTCTAACTTGAGTTTGCCTCAACCAAATGTTATGAAACTTATACACAATGCTAATTACTACATAATACAGATTAAGTACGAAATTAGGTGGCAACACTTTTACCATTCTAGAGTTATGTCCCATTATAAACATAAAAATTGCTGAATTTTTTAGTTTGTCTCATCCAAATGTTGTAAAACTTATACACAACCGTTCTAGAGTTATGCATCATTACAAATAGAAAAATTGCTGAATTTTTAGTTTCTGTTCTCTACTTAAGTTAGCCTCAACCAAATGTTATGAGACTTACACACAATGCTTATTACCACAAAACTCAGATCAAGTTCAAATTTGGGTAGTGTCACTTTTACCGTTCTTCAGTTATGTCCCTTTATAACTATATGATATGCAAGCGGGGGCATCATCTGTGTCCACATGTGGACACTATCCACATTTATTTTTCATTGCATGAAAATTGAGAATCACTTTTTGTTTTGAATATATATATATATGTATGTACATTTGAGTTATATTTTTTAAAGAATATATATATGTTATAGATAAATATTATTTTCTTGTTAAAATATTGATCAGTATTAAAGGCAACTCCATCAGATCATACAAAATGCCATCATTTCCTGTGGTAAACCTTCTTTAACATATATATATATCTTTCTTGTTTATTCATTTACACACAAACTCTGAAAAATAGAATGTAGTGGCAATCATGAGGATGAAATACATTTTTGTAACTGATTGATCTTGTATAGGTAGATTCTGGCCTAAACTTAGATGTGTTTGTAATTTAAATCAGAATTAGAATGCAAAATATTTTCTATATTGCTACCAGAATTCATACAAATTTGATAATACCATTAGAAGGAGCATCTTTTGAAGAAAAAGAAAATGATTCATAAAAAAAGGGAAATTTAAATTTTGAATTCCAAAGTATTTGAATAAGTAAAGTACAGTATGAAAACTATTTGAATTTAGGCCATGTATATACTTGGTAAGCAAAAACAATAGAAAAAGGTGGAGTTGTCTCTTGAGTTGCAAAATCCACATTAGATAATATTTATATTGTTTATTATGTAGTATTTATGTTGAACTTGGTTGTCTTTTTATTATTGGAGAATAATTGGCAAGCTTGCTTTATCATATTTCTTGGCAATCAGTCCATACAGCTATGCTTATCTCCATCTTCTTTTAATAAGTGGTATATCAGTTTTGCATGTAAAGAAGCTTGTTTGTAAAATGGAATGAAATCAGACTCCTAGCTGTTGTGTTTGTTGCAACTCGGCTTTCATTGTTTCAAACTTTCATTTTAATGTTTCATCTTGTTTTTGTGTATAAAATTTTGGCTGTTTTTGTTAACAGTTCTTTAATTATGTTTGGAAAATACATTCTGGATAAACATTCTGATTTCTGATAAAAAAAAAATTTATAAGATAAATGTCAATATTTTCAAAGTGAATGTAAGAACTAAAAAAGGGCATTATTCAATTGATAAGAAACATTTTACTTTTGAGTAACAGAATGTCAGAAATTTAAATACTAGGGTTAATTCAAAATGGTAGATTTCAATAATTAAGGAGGGAGAGTCTCAGCAATTTGACCATTTTCATTGTAAAGCAAGATATCAAGTTAAATTAAATTGCATCAGGAAAACAAAAAGAGAAATTGTTTATTTTAAATAGATACATGAACACACAAAAGTGAGATGGAACAGACTATTTTTGATTATGATCATTTCTTATTGCATGTTTTATTTTTGTTATGTAGCCTAGTGTAAACACCTTTATTAATCCCCAAATTTTTTGGGTTACAGTTCACTTTTGATTTGCAGGATGCATCTAAAAACTGTAGTCCAATGTTGGAGGAGTGTTCCCCTACACCCTCTCAGTCCAGATTTCCACCATGCATAGAATTTGGAAAATATGAAATTCAAACCTGGTATTCCTCACCCTACCCCCAGGAATATGCTAGGTAAGTATTTAATGTAAGTAGAATGTCACAGATGATAAGATAAAAAGACTTGGACATCAGTGTAGTGGTGATATGATGTATTTGTTACATATACTGTAGAACTTCCAACGGCTGGAACTCAAAGCAATTGACATGAACAGTTATTGGTTAAAGACAATTGTTATTAGTAGTTATCCATTATGTTAGGGGCTTTAAGGTTTACCCTTGTCCGTCTACATAAGAACGTCCAAAATGGTTTCTGTTCTCTAACTTGAGTTTGCTTCAACCAAATGTTGTGAAACTTGTACAATGCTTATAACAGTTGTGTCCCTTTATAACTGGAAAAATTGCTGAATTTGCTGTTTCCGCACTCCAACTTTACTTTGCCACATTCAAATGTTCTGAAACTTGTACACAATGCTTATTACAACCAAAAACAGATCAAGCTTGAATTTGGGTGGCATTACTTTTGCAGTTTTTATACGATTGCAAAAAAATTTTGTGGTTGTATATTGGTATGACGTTGGCGTCGGTGTAGTCATCGTCCGAAGACACATTGGTTTTCGCACTCTAACTTGAGTTTAAGTGAATGGATCTCTATGAAATTTTACCATAAGGTTCAATACCACAAAAGGAAGGTTGGGATTGATTTTGGGGGTTATGGTACCGACAGTTAAGGACTTAGGGGCCAAAAATAAGCATTTTTGTAACTTCCAGACATAACTTGTGTGTTAGTGTATAAATCTCTCTGACATTGTACCACAAGGTTCCATATCACAAAGGGAATGCTGGGATTGGTTTTTGGGGGTAATTGCTTCAAAATTTTAGGAATTAGGGGCCAAAAAAGGGGAAAAAAACAAGCATTTTTCTAGTTTCATGACAATAACTTGTGTGTAAGTGTATGGATCTTTCTGAAATTGTACTGCAAGGTTCCATATCACAAAGGGAAAGCTGGAATTGAGTTTTAGGGTAATTGCCCAAAACGATTAGGAAAAAGGGGCCAAAAAGTGGCCAAAAATAAGCATTTTTCTAGTTTCCAGACAATAACTTGTGTTCAAGTGTATAGATCTCTCTGAAATTGTACTGCAAGGTACCATTCCACAAAGGGAAGGCTGTTATTGAGTTTTGGGGTGATGAATCATAAGGGGGTTCAAAAAATTTGGGGGGGGGGATTTTTTTTTCTTTAAAATTTTCCATTTTAAATTGGTTATTTCTGATTTATATATAAAAGCAAATAATAATGAGGCCAACCCTAAAAATATGTTTGTTTGCAGTTTTCCGACTGTACCTTCAGACTGCAGGGTCGGTAGGTAGGAAAAATATTTTATTTTATCAGCCAGAATAAAGTTTAAACAAGCAGTTTAACACAAACCAAGTTTCTTGTGAAGAAAAAACATTTTAAAACAACAAACACTGAAAACCAACATGAAATGAACAGGCATTTTCAGGTAAACACCTTTTTAACCAAAACTGAAACTTAACATAGTGTCATTATACAATTTATGACATAAAATTATGGTATTATGAAATACTGGAACACTTATAAACAAGAAATGACTAGAATTGTTGTAAATAAACATATTCACTGACATTTATGCATCTTTACTAGAATGTTTTCATGAGTAGAGTATTTGCATCAGAAAAATGTAGATGTTAAAGATTCAAAAGACAATTAAGAAGTGTGTTAAAAAAATCAACCATTGAATCTTCCTCAATTGAAAAAAAAAAGACAACTTAAAAAAAATATATTAGACATCTGACTGTTATAAAGGTTATATTTGGAAAGATATGTTGATGCCAGGCTTTAATTAAAACAAACAAAAATCTTAAGACTAGCTTTGGGGTGAAATCCATAGCACCGCATTAAAAGTAAATGGTCTGTACTGAAAGGTTTTGACTGCATAAAAAAATTGGCAGCATAGCTCCTAGCTAAGGACATGTTTCGTTTCAATTCAATTCACACAGGCCACACAGTTTGGGTATATTTAATATTGTAAGAGAGAGAATAATTGCAATGATTTTAGGCTGCTGTCGAATTGTTGAACCACTGATATTGGTTCCATAAAGTCAGTCTCAAAAGATTCTGTATCCGATTTGTTTGAGACAGAAACGGTTATCATTTCGATTTTATAAATATCTGCTGCATCATCGTCAATGATATCATCGAAGACATTATTCCGTGTGCAATTCTGCCTGAATCAGTATAAACAGTTTACTATGAAACTTTTCTGTGTATTATTTGTCTTAAAATTGACAGAAGACGACAGAATAAAGTACTCCTCCATGACTTCGTGGATACCTGTAAACAATCTCCATGTGCTTCACCATGAAAGGGTCCGATGAACGCTTGACAGGAAGGGAAGAAAAACCAAACTTCAAACATGTAATTGACCTACACTTGAAATCAATTCCGGAAATGACCTGAAATTCCGGATTGAGTCAATAGAAGTATTAAAAATAATTTCTTCAAATTAAAACCAATAAAATGTTCACAGTCGGGCGGATTTTCGAAGGTCGGTCGGTAAACTGCAAACAAACAATATTTTAATTTAAGCCTGATATGGTTTGAATAGGTAAATTAAAATTTTTTAAGTTCTTAGACCACATTCATTCTGTGTCAGAAACCTATGCTGTGTCAAATATTTAATCACAATCCAAATTCAGAGCTGTATCAAGCTTGAATATTGTGTTTATACTTGCCCCAACTGTTCAGGGTTCGACCTCTGCGGTCGTATCAAGCTGCGCCCCAGCGGAGCATTTTATTGTGTTATGCTCCTTTACAAATCGAAAATTGCCAATATTTGGTGTTTTACTCACTCTTTTAAACTTAAACCCCAGCGCAATATCTAGTTACAACATACAGAAACAAATGTCATTAAGTTTGAAAGAAAACAAAACATCAGTTTTGAATTAGTACATTTAACTCTTTGAATATTCACAAGATAGGGCATTTCTTCTTTTATTGATCCCAAGATTATCAGTGTTCATTTTTGAAATAAGATAGATACTTGTTTGGTTCTTCATCAAGCTGAATACATTTTACACTAATCCACAGAAGATGCAAAAATAGATAAACAAGGTTGTCTTGCTTTATTATCACAAAAGTAACAAATTAATAAGGGATGACATACAAGCAGTTTTCCCTTCACAGTGATTTTTTTGTGTTTTTGACACACAAAAATTGCAGTAGAGGCAACATAAATCATCTGTTGTGACATTAGGCCTACCATGAGGTAAAGGATTGGTTTAAGCATTTTCTTCGAATGAGTTACTTTGTGTTTTGGCTATTATCTTGAAATCTAAAATAAGATTTACAACTAGACGAACATAACTGATTGGATCTGGAACAAACTTTGTTACAATCTTACCAAGTTCTGTGAAAGTTGGTTGCCACTGTTTCTTACAATTGTAATGTTGCATAATTTTACAAGGTGTGATATTCAAGCTCCATGAAGCCTCTAGATTTAGGTGATGTAGTGATATGATTAATATTTTATACTTGGAATTTACTAATGTTTGCAAATACATCTTGATCAAGTTTTCCTTTTCTACAATTAAGATATAAATATTACTATTAAAACATTATTTTACAGATTACCAAAGTTGTACATATGTGAATTTTGTCTTAGATTTGTTAAAAGCAGGAAAATGTTAGCCAGACATATGGTAAGAAATAAGTTTGTAATGAAAAAATCTTTTAAATCAAATATTGATAAACTTTCCATAACACTACCAAACCTGACACTTGTATATGTGCTAACATAACAGGTAGAATGGTTTGAACTATATTTGAAATTGAAACTGAATACATTTCAAATTATATATATATATATGAATGAAATGAAATGACATGTGGGGTATAAGTCAATGAGACAGCAATCTGACAATCCCCTCCCAAACCTTCCTCCTAAAAAAAAACAAATACAAAAACATGAACAAAAGACTAATAGCAGACAACCTTTGGTTCAAACAAATCAGTATACAATATGTCAAGCTTTAAAAACTCTTACAGATGTGAATAAATTTAGCAGAGACTATAAAAGATTTATCTGCACAAATTCCCTAAAGTTTGAGAAAAAACTAACATATATCTATGATGTTACTGATTTTTGATATGCTGTGCAAAAGATTCAACTATCTGTATCTCTAATATGAATTTGGGAACCCTTTCAGTATATCAGTGAAATTAAATTTTCATTGGCAAAAACAAAATATAAATTTTAAAGAAAATTTGTAAGACAGGATTTTGAAAAATTATAATTCAAAGTCAAAGTTGCTATATTCATATGTAGTTCCTTATGCTCTAGTTGCTTGCAAACCTGTCACCTTAAAACCTTAATAGTGTTAAATTTGATGTACAAAAGTTGATGTTTATGAAAATCTGTAGAATGTGAAAAACACTGGTGAAGGCCAAACATATATGAATTATAATTGGATATATTAATTTATTTAAAGTTTTAAATGATAAGATTGAATATATTAGTTTAAGGATTTATAATTGAATATTATTTTTGTTTCTTCAGGAAAAATGTGGACTGAATCATCCACCAGCAAATGAAATTTACAGGAAAAATGAATTATCAGTGTTTGAAGTGGATGGAAACTCCAGTAAAATTTATTGTCAAAACTTGTGCCTTCTTGCTAAATTATTCTTAGATCACAAAACTTTATATTATGATGTTGAACCATTCTTATTTTATGTGGTGACCACAAATGATGAGTTTGGATGTCATCTTATTGGATACTTCTCTAAGGTAAGATAAATTAGTTTACTGACCATACAAAAAAATGAACTGTTTTAGTTATCTTTGATTGAAAGGGTAAAGTTATTTTTAAGTTAAGATGTGCTATAGCAATCTTTTTCTAAATAAAAAGATATAAAACTTGTTGCTGTATGAAAACATCAGTCTGAATTAATCCATTCTTCCCCCTGCAAACAAAGTTATATAGGAATCGCCATGTCTGTCTGTGCATCAGTCCCGCTTCGTGTCCGGTGCATAATTTTTGTTCTGTAAAACTTAGGGTTAACGAAACTTGGTATGCAGTTGCATCATGGGCTGGGTGTGTGTCGTATAACAAAGTCCGGTCAATCTGACGTTGGCTTTGACCTTTTATCCCTATGATAGTAAAGCCTTGTCATAATTTGTGTCCAGTGCATAACTTTTGTACTGTAAAACTTAAGATGACCAAACTTGGTATGCTGTTGAATCATTCGATGGGGATGTGTTACATACTAAAGTCAGGTTGCTCTGACCTTAACTTTGACCTTTGACCACTGATAGTAAAACCTTATCCAATTGGTGTCCGGCTCATATCTTTTGTTCTTTAAGACTTAGGTTAACCAAACTTGGTATGCAGTTGCATCATGGACTTCAGGTATGTCATATACCAAAGTCATATTACTCTATCCTTGACCCCTATGATAGTAAAACCTTATCCAATTCATGGCCTGCTCATATCTTTTGTACCGTAAAACTTAAGTTAACCAAACTTGGTATGCAGTTGCATTATTGGCTTTGGGTGTGTCATATACCAAAATCAGGTCACTCTAACTTTTGACACTTATGATAGTTAAACCTGGTCTGATTTGTGTCCTGCTTAACTTTTGTACCACAGAATTTAGATTGACCAAACTTGTGTGCTGATTAATCATGGGATTTGGTGTTTCATATATCAAATTCAGGTCACTCTGACCTTGAATATGAGCTTTGACCCCTATGATAGTTAAACATTGTCTGATTCGTGTTTGGTGCAGAAGTTTTGTACTGTGGCACTTGGATTGACAAAACTTAGTATGCAGAAGCATCAGCATCAGCATCCTGGGTCATTATAGTTCTTTTTAGACTGATTGATCAGTAACTATGTGTCAATCTAACACAGGGGCAATGATTATATAAAATGAATTGCTGATAACCAAAAATCTCAAAACCTCATTGCCTCAATACTGAATTTCACAGTAGCAACTCAAATGCATGTACGGGGGTATTAGTTCCGCTTTGTGGACAGTTCTACTTTTATGACTGATTTTATTAATTTTCCAAGTGTAAGATAACATCATTCTGTAACAAAATAGAACAAAACGAATGTACTTATGGCTTGACAAGAAAACCTCACTTGCAGTGTATTTAATTTTATTATAATGGTTGCTTTCTATTATAGGAAAAACACTGTCAGCAGAAATACAATGTATCATGTATAATGACAATGCCCCAATACCAAAGGAAAGGATATGGCAGATTCCTTATCGATTTCAGTAAGTTATTTCTCTCTTGCTATTACTGTATCAAGTATAGATTCTTTATTCCCTTACTGAATCACATCATATGTCTTGGAAGTTGATTCTATCTGGATTTTGTAATAGCCTAGCATTTCAATTTTGTTTAAATTTTACTTTAAAACACGTGCTTATGAAATTTAGCAAACATTTGCTTGAGGCATTTTTATAGAAACAACAGAATATCAAGACAGCATAACAATGATAAGATTACTAAAGTTTTTTATGCCAAATTCATTTCAACCAATGTTGTATACAAATTGTTTATGTAGAATGGTTCATATGAAAGTAAAATTATTCACATCAAAACTTTTAATGATTCCTTAATTTTTTCAGGTTATTTGTTGTCCAGAATAGAAGGCCAAGCAGGGTCACCTGAAAAGCCATTATCAGATCTGGGGAAAGTGTCATATCTAGCCTACTGGAAAAGTGTCATCATAGAATACTTACATAAATACCAGGATGCTAGAGTATCAATCAAAGGTATTACTGAATTAGCTTTGCTTTATCTGGCATTAATTAGTCCCCTACTGACGAAGTCCAAGGGGACTTTAGGTTTGCACTCTGTCTCTGTGTCCATCCGTCAGTCTGGCAAATCAGTTTTCCACACTTTTTTTCTTCGTGCTTGAAGATATTGATTTGATATTTGTTATATTGTTTTATCATGACAAGTTACAGATCAAGTCCGAATTTTGTTCCGGTCTGATAATTTTTTGCAGAGTTATGGTCCTTGGACTTAAATTCACTTAAATATTCAGTTTCCGCACTTTTTTTCGTCATGCTTGAATATATTGATTTAATAATTTGTATTTACATTGTTTTATCATGACAAGTTACAGATCAAGTTAGAATTTTGTTCCAGTCTGATGATTTTGTGCAGAGTTATGGTCCTTGGACTTAGAAAATTCACTCAAATAATCAGTTTTCCACACTTTTTTTCGTCATGCTTGAAGATATTGATTTGATAATTGGTATATAGTTTTATCATGACAAGTTACAGACCATTTTCGAATTTTGTTCCAGTTTGATGATTTTGTGCAAAGTTATGGTCCTTGGACTTAGAAAATTCACTTAAGGTAGCACAATACAAAAGCAACTAAATTTTATTAAAATTTCATTTTCAGCTGTTTTTGTTACTTCTTTATATTACAAAACAACAGAAGAAAAATAAGTTTCCATATCTTGCACTGTTAATGAGTTTTGATGATAATTAGTTTTTATAAACAAATGCACGTGTCTGACTGATACAAATAAGAACATGTGGGCAGTACTTTGTGGTTAATCAATAGAATCATTTGATTGCTTAATGAACACCGACCAGCTATAAAAATAACAGTCATAAAAAAGAGGTTGAATTCGGGGTTTATAGAAAAAGAAGATAATGAAATCCAAATAAAAATACATTTCTATATTGGGGCTGCCAGGAGAAAAAACAAAATAATAATATGGAGCTATAGAGGGAATCAAATATAAATGTACAGATATTAAACAAATATAATTGTACAACAATTAATGTTGCTGATGTTAATGCTGATGGTTATATCAGATTTTCTTGAGGAGAATATGTAAATATGAATTCTTTTTAAAAGAAAATACAAATTAATCATTTAATTTTCAAAATACAAAAAATAAAAAAATTCTTTTTGCGTCGTATAATGCTATGATGTCGTCGTCGTCCGAAGACACATTTGGTTTCCGGACAAAATAACTTTAGTTTAAGTGAATGGATCTTTATGAATTTTTACCAGAAGGTTCAATACCACAAAAGGAAGGTTGGGATTGATTTTGGGGCTGATGGTACCAACAGTTTAGGAATTAGGGGCCAAAAAGGGGCCAAAAACAAGCATTTTTGTAGTTTCCGGACAATAATTTGTGTGTAAGTGTATGGATCTCTCTGAAATTGTACCACAAGGTTTCATATCACAAAGGGAAGGCTGGGATTGAGTGGGGTAATTACTCCAAAAAGGGGGGGGTAAAAAAGTTGGTGGGATTTTTTTTTATGCCCCCGCCGTTGCGGAGGGGGCATTAAGTTTTACCCTTGTACGTCCCAAAATTGGTTTTTCGTTCTCTAACTTTAGTTTGCCTCAACCAAATGTTATGAAACTTATACACAATGCTTATTACCACCAAACACAGATCAAGTTTGAATTTTGGTGGCGTTACTTAAACCGTGCTAGAGTTATGCCCCTTTACAAATGGAAAAATTGCTGAATTTTCCGTTTCTGTCTCTAACTTAAGTTTGCCTCAACTAAATGTTATGAAACTTATACACAATACTTATTACCAAAAAAATCAGACCATTCTAGGTAAATTAAATGTCCCATTTCAAATTTTTAAGATCTTTGACCACATTTATTTTGTGTCAGAAACCTATATTATGTAAAAAATTTGATCACAATCCAAATTCAGACAGTATCAAGCTTGAATATTGTGTCCAGACTTGCCCCAACTGTTCAGGGTTCGACCTCTGGGGTTGTATCAGGCTGTGCTCAGCGAAGCATTTTATTAGCTGTATACAATCAGGTGAAATTAATGGAGTTTTTTCACTTTTGTCTTCAGTCGCAGTCAGAATCACTTTGTTATGTATATTTGTTTTTAAAGGATGTCTTCAAACTGTAAAAGGAGTTTTCTAGGAAATAACAAATACACTAAACTACAAGGAAGTGTAAAAGTTAAATGTCCAAAATCGATTAAAAATAAATAATTGGAAAACATAACATAACAAAGAAAAATTATTGTTACTGGTATGTTACTTAACTTAATTTATTATAAAAAATGTCATGGTCAAGTACACCGACAAAATATGGTATGGGAGTCAAAGATAATCTACAGAATTTTGCAGAAATATCACATAGATGATTTTGCAGTCTGAAGTCACTTTGTACGTTGGCATACCTTGAAAATTCCTAGAAATTTTAAATGATATTTTGACAATTTAAGTGAAATTAATGTGAAATGAGTTTTTTAATCTACATTCCAGCCATTGCCAGAGAAAGTGGTATGAGTGCACAAGATGTAGCAATAACTTTACACGATTTGAAGATGTTGGTTCCACAAGATGGAAAGTAAGTCAATCCTGTGTGAAATTAATGTCAATTTTGTGTATGAGAAATTTTAAGGTTGTATGTTTTTTTTTCAGTTCTTATTAACTTAACAAATCACAGTTTATTATTGGACTATTGTTGATTGCACATCTATGTACATGTATATGGTGTAACATTTATTATCCTCAGGTTATTATTATTCAGGAAGTATAATTGTAAGAGGAAAGCATTGATCTGAATTGCCTGAGGTTACTGAAGAAAGTGTGAGATCTACACATTGATTTGTATGTGAAAAATCTGTATGTGCTTTAATGGTTTAAAATCAATTATTTGAAATATAGATGTATTTTTGATTTTAGGGTTGTTCTTGCTTTGAACAAGGAATTGATAGATAATTATATGGCAAAACTTGAATCAAAGAAGCATCTTAGAGTAGAACCAGACCAAGAATGTCTTAGATGGACACCTCTGATATCAAACTATAACATATCAGAAGAAGAAAAGAAAGCTGAAAAAGAGGTAAATTTCATAAAACTTAGAGAGTTTGTCTATCGTGAGGAGTAAAAGACATGATACTGAAATAATTGCACATACATATATTAAAAAAGGTAGAGGTTCAGACCAAAAAAAAGATTTTTATGGAAGAGTGATCCACTATTATTGTCTCTTAAGGAAAAGTAATATAAAAGCTAAACAGAAAATTTTGCAACAATTGTACATCACCTCAGTTAACTTGTGACTTAAAAAGTAATTTAGTGCACTTTTTACTAAAACTGGTTCAATTCATTTTAAGAAAGAATCATGTCAAAATGTTACTCCTTGTAAGATAAAGCATTCCATTGAGGTGTTTTCACTTTATTTGAAACTATTGATAATGTTTGCAATGATTTCAATAGTGTCTGTATGATCAAGCAATATGTTTGACATGCTTTACACGAAGTTTTTTTCGATAATTTTCCTGGGGCGACAGCCCAGGACAAACTCACATCAAGCATAAACATTGTACATCACTACTATGGCCAAATCAGTCAACCTGTTTCTTTTCATCTGTTATATGTATATTGTCAGTATTAAAGATAGACCTATACTGTAAATTCAGAAATTATTTTGATGTATTTATTAATGCAAATAATGTGACTGGGTGAGTATCGCAATAATAACTCGCATTCTGATATTTGATACATATATCTGTATGAAGCTTTTCCTGAAATCACAATAATTGATATTGCATTTTTGTTCAGTCTGTTAAATACATGCAATAATTTCTGAATTTACAATGTTACTTCTCTCTGCTGACGTCCACTTAGAAGAAATATCTCATTCTAAGTTAGATCTGCCATATTAAGATATACAGGTTTTCTATAAGTTATCTTGCATAAAAGAAACCATGTAAACAAGAAAAACTATAACTCTGTATCAATATTTGTGCACATGAATTAATTAATATAATTCCAATTAGTAATATGAACAAATACTTTACTATATTACAGTTATCTGAAATGAGTGATATGGTGGACAGTATAGCTGAGGATAGAGAATGGATAGAGACTGTCAGTCCTACTGTATCACCACATAAGTTGGAAAGGTCACTCTCAACGTCACTTAGTCCAAGACGACTAGATTTGAAATCTCCCATGGAGGAGAAAAGTCCAGTTAAAATACCTCCCAAAGAAGAAGACATGGAACTATCATCTTCATCTAGTAGTGAAGAAGAGAGTGACCATAATGACATAAAGATAAATCCACCAGTCATAAAACTTGGTCCTCCACCAAAAAGAAGGGTAAGTGTAATACTGTTTAGTTGTATGTAAAACTTATTTGCATAGAATATGTTAGTATTGAATAATGATAAGATATTTTTAAGGAGAATAGAAGGAAGAAGATATATGTTATAAGACAGTACTGTCTATCCATTTTTTTTTTAAACCTTTTTCTATTTTCACTTAAACTTAATTTACCTCCTATTGACTAACATTTAATATCAGATAATTTTTTTAGTAAATAACTCTGACAGTGAGTTTGTTTTGTGTGTCATAACAATTTTAAGAACAAAAAGGTTAAAGGAAAAAAACCAATGAAGATCAACAATTTAGTTTCTTTCAGAGATTTTTTTCACAATTACAATTTGTATAGTCCGTTTGACTTCTATAAATCTTCAGAAAATAATTCTTAAAAATTCATTTTTACAAATAAACATTTTTTTTCTTGATGTATGTTAATGTATGATATATACGAACTCTGACTATGAATATCATAATTTTAGGCCAATAATCAAAAAATTTACCCATTAGGTCTTTATGTTACTCCTATTTTTTATGCCCCCGCCGTAGCGGTGGGGGCATCAAGTTTTACCCTTGTCCGTCTGTACGTACGTACGTCCGTCCGTACGTCCCAAAATTGGTTTCCGTTCTCTAACTTGAGTTTGCCTCAACCAAATGTTATGAAACTTATACACAATGCTTATTACCACAAAACACAGATCAAGTTTGAATTTTGGTGGCGTCACTTTAACCGTTCTAGAGTTATGCCCCTTTATAAATGGAAAAATTGCAAAATTTTTAGTTTCCGTTCTCTAAATTAAGTTTGCCACAACCAAATGTTATGAAACTTATACACAAGGCTTATTACCACAAAACACAGATCAAGTTTGAATTTTGGTGGCGTCACTTTAACCGTTCTAGAGTGATGCCCCTTTATAAATGGAAAAATTGCAAAATTTTTAGTTTCCGTTCTCTAAATTAAGTTTGCCTCAACCAAATGTTATGAAACTTATACACAAGGCTTATTACCACAAAACACAGATCAAGTTTGAATTTTGGTGGCGTCACTTTAACCGTTCTAGAGTGATGCCCCTTTATAAATGGAAAAATTGCAAAATTTTTAGTTTCCGTCCTCTAACTTAAGTTTGCCTCAACCAAATGTTATGAAACTTATACACAAGGCTTATTACCACAAAACACAGATCAAGTTTGAATTTTGGTGGCGTCACTTTAACCGTTCTAGAGTGATGCCCCTTTATAAATGGAAAAATTGCAAAATTTTTAGTTTCTGTTCTCTAACTTAAGTTTGCCTCAACCAAATGTTATGAAACTTATACACATTGCTTATTACCACAAAACACAGATCAAGTTTGAATTTTGGTGGCGTCACTTTAACCGTTCTAGAGTTATGCCCCTTTATAAATGGAAAAAATTGCAAAATTTTTATTTTCTTCTAAATATCAAGTTATTTTTAAAATTGGAGTTATCTTCCTTTGTCGATGATTATAGTTGAATCAACTACAATCAATGCTTTATACAATGCAATGTTTAATTTTGACTTCCACTGATAAAACACAGATCAAGTTGAATTTGGGTAGTCACTTTAACCATTATTGAGTTATGCCCCTTTATAAATAGAAAAATTACTGAATTTTTAGTTTCTGTTCTCTACTTAAGTTAGCCTCAACCAAATGTTATGAGACTTACACACAAAACTCAGATCAAGTTCAAATTTGGGTAGCATCACTTTTACTGTTCTTCAGTTATGTCCCTTTATAACTATATGATATGCAAGCGGGGGCATCATCTGTGTCCACATGTGGACACTATCCACATTTATTTTTATATAAAATACTTAATGGAGTAAGTATGAATAGTGTAACAGCCTTCCATTCAAAACAAAAACATCAGACATGTGCTTTAAACCTGTTTCATTATACCATGTGACTTTTCTCATTTAAATAACGCTGACCAGGAAACAAACTTGGACTTCATTTAAGTTTTATGTCATGTGATTACTGAACTTATACATGATTTTGTATTTTTCATTGTTCAATTTCTATGAGTAACCTTAGTAATATTTTCCACTGGACATTACTAGTATAACATTTTTAAAAACTACAAAGTAGTTTTATGCAAAATTCAGTTTAGAAATTTTATTAAAAAGTTCCCCTTTTCATCAGTTAAGGTCTTTATGGTTATATTTTATCTAATTTTATTTTCATATTTTGAAAGTCATAAGCTGTGTTTTTTCAAGAAAAAAGTAAATATTAAATGTATTCTGTAAATACTTATTGGTGAAACTTTTTAGAGGCTCTCCATTTTGTTAATACTGTCATCATGCTTTAAGCATGAAAAGCTTGCTTATATTCTTCTATTTTTTTTGTATTTTGTCGGATAATATACAATTAGACAGTCAAGGATATAACTCTATAGGGTTATTAGAGAAAAATAACATACGCTTGTTATTGTGGACAAAAAAATCAAAGAACTGTGATACCATATGTATGATACATGTTTCAAAGGGACAATGTACATCATTTGTTTTGTTAAAATGTATACAAGTTCTATTGATATTGCTACTGTCTTTATGTATACTAAACTATAGAAAGATATAACAGTTCATAGTTTGCCAATCATGCATATCACACCTATGTTATTACAGAACAAATATGCCTGTAATAACTAAAGGGTGTTATTACAGCTTCTCTACATCACTTTAAAGCCTTTGCTCAGGCATAGATCATGCTCAATTACAATGTATTTCAATTTATTGTAAGAAGTAATGATCAGAGCATGTAATGAGGTTCTGCGCAATCTTCCCAGTAATTCCCAAGTGTCTTATTTAATAAGTTACATGCCTTTAATAACTAAGCCTTGTTATTACAGCTAAGTTAATCACTTAAAAGCCTTGTCTCATTGATTTACCATGGTTTATGAAAAATGTATTAATCTAAATTAATAGTTAGTTAACAAGGCTATGCATTTAGTTTCTGCGCAAAGTTTCAAGAGTTCCCTAGAGCCCACCAAAAATAAAAATATTTATGATTTATTTTACAAATAACAAACATATGTTATTACAGTTTTAGTAAATTTAAGGATTAAAGAGTAGACAACTCATAAAAGTATCTGTAATAACACATGCAAGTTATTTTCTGTAATAACCCTATAGAGTTATATCCCTGACTGTTAGATGTAAAAAAAAATGGTCTGGTAAAACTTCATTCGGTCTGGTAAAGCTAGGTTGTTTACCAGACCGAATGTCCTGTAAAAATAAAATTCATTCGTGTAGTCTGACATACATCAAGAAAAAAATGTTTATTTGCAAAAATGAATTTTTAAGAATTATTTTCTGAAGATTTATAGAAGTCAAACTGACTATATATGTTCATTTTAAAAGTGGGAAAAAAAAGATACATCCATAACATAGCCATCAAGATATAGGTAAATACAAATACTAAAAAAAATGGCTATGTTATTAACTTTCTTCTTGCTACCATGATTTCATCCACATATTTGTATTATTCATAAAATATAAACAGCCCCAATTTATGCATGCACTGTGATCAGAACCCAAGTCTTTGGATGGTAAGAAGTTTAGTAAGAATGTCTCTTTTTTCATGTTTCTCTGTCATCTCAATATAATTTCCTTGCTCCCCCATTATTGTTCTATTTACAAAATTTGAACTTTAAAGAATTTATAACTAGATGTAATTATTATATTGTGTATTATGTTACATTATTAGCCTGGTCGACCTAGAAAAAGGAAAGTAGAATCAGAAGAAGATGAAATAGATGTTAAAAAGATGAGACAAGATGATGAAGGTATTCATATTATTGGTTAAGTTTTTATATCTCTACTATTAGTAATATACAATTCATAGCGGGATCTGAATTATGTGAAATGTTTGGAATATATTTCTCTCCAGGTGAGTTGAGAACAGAGTCAGGTACTTGATGCTTGCCCTAAGTCCTTACGTGACATACAGATCAATGATAAGATCAACTAAATCATCTTTCCTGACACACACTATAAACTGAAATTTTAGGGGTACATAGGAATATGCTTGCAGGAATTATGCCGTTTTAATGTTCAAACTTGGATCATGTTGGCATCCTTTTATGATTAAGGTGTTCCAGTCTGTCCATAAAGACTTGCCAGATGAAGATATTTTACCCACAAAATTTTATATTTTGAAGAAGGAATTCTTTGGTAATATGTTTTGACAAGGAATTAATCAATAGACAAAATCTATAGTTTTTTAAGGCATACTCACTGCAAATTGATGTCATCCCGATTTTAATCCCTTAAGACTTATTAACAAAAGGCAATCATGGTAATCATTTGGGTATCATATAAACAATGATTGACATGAAAAGGATATTAAACTTCACTTGATATAAATTCGATGTTCTGATGTAAACTGTTAAATCGACAATGCATCATTTGAAGTGTGCAACATCAGCATACTAATATCTGCCTTAGACTCTGTATTAGTGCAAAATTACGCTGTCAAAATCTTTACTTTCATTTTTAAAAAGCACATTTTCCTACTAATGGATGTTGATTTGACATTGGTAAGACGGATATGTAAAATCTGTGTATGTTAACAAAGCATAATTAAGTTTAGAGGCTCTTTCTACATTATTTCTTCAAGGAAATACTCAAAAGGAACATTAGTTAAAGGTATCAATGATAATTTTTGCATTTTTATACGACCGCAAAAAAATTTTTGTGGTCGTATATTGGTATGACGTTGGCGTCGTCGTTGTCCGGCGTCGGCGTCGTCGTCCGGCGTCGTCCGAAGACACATTGGTTTTCGCACTCTAACTTTAGTTTAAGTGAATGGATCTTTATGAAATTTTACCACAAGGTTCAATACCACAAAAGGAAGGTTGGGATTGATTTTGGGGGTTATGGTAATAACAGTAAAGGAATGAGGGGCCAAAAAGGGGCCAAAAATAAGCATTTTTGTAACTTCCAGACATAACTTGTGTGTTAGTGTATGGATCTCTCTGACATTGTACCACAAGGTTCCATATCACTAAAGGAATGCTGGGATTGATTTTGGGGGTAATTGCCTCCAAATTTTAGGAATTAGGGGCCAAAAAAGGGGCAAAAAACAAGCATTTTTCTAGTTTCCAGACAATAACTTGTGTTCAAGTGTATGGATCTCTCTGAAATTGTACTGCAAGGTACCATACCACAAAGGGAAGGCTGGGATTGAGTTTGGGGGTGATGAATCATAATGGGGGTTCAAAAAATTTTGGGGGGGGATTTATTTTTTTTTCCTTTTTTTTCTTTTTTTCCTTTTTTGTTTCTTTTAAAATTTTCCATTTTAAGTTGGTTATTTCTGATTTATATTTAAAATCAAATAATAATGATATGGTAGGAGATACACACCAAACAGGATGTGTAAATTATTATATAATAAGTATTGTGCAATAGCAAGAAATTTTCAATTGCACAGTATTGCACAATAGCAAGAAATCTTCAATTGCACAGTATTGCGCAATAGCAAGAAATCTTCAATTGCACAGTATTGCGCAATAGCAAGAAATATCCAATAGCACAATATTGCGCAATAGCAAGAAATTGTCAATTGTACAGTATTGCGCAATAGCAAGAAATATTTAATAGCACAGGATTGTGCAAAAGAAGATACTTCCTATAAATTGCTTATTTCTTGACCAATTTCAATGGGGTTTTATTCTTGATTTCATGGGGTTCTTTAATATGCTGAATCTAACCGTGTATTTAGTTTTTGGATTTTGGGCCCCGTTTTTAAATTGGTCCACATTGAGGTCCAAAGGGTCCAAAATTAAACTTTGTTTGATTTCATCAAAAATTGAATTATTGGGGTTCTTTGATATGCCGAATCTAACTGTGTATTTAGATTCTTAAATTTTGGTTCCGTTTTCAAATTGGTCTACATTAAGGTCCAAAGGGTCCAAAATTAAACTTAGTTTGATTTTAACAAAAATTGAATTCTTAGGGTTCTTTGATATGCTGAATCTAAACATGTATTTAGATTTTTGATTATGGGCCCAGTTTTCAAGTTGGTCCAAATCGGGGTCCAAAATTAAACTTTGTTTGATTTCAACAAAAATTGAATATATGGGGTTCTTTGATATGCTGAATCTAACCATGTATTTAGATTTTTGATTTTTGGGCCCCGTTATCAACTTTGTCCACATTGAGGTCAAAAGGGTCCAAAATTAAACTTTGTTTGATTTCATCAAAAATTGAATTATTGGGGTTCTTTGATATGCCGAATCTAACCGTGTATTTAGATTCTTAATTTTTGGTTCCGTTTTCAAATTGGTCTACATTAAGGTCCAAAGGGTCCAAAATTAAACTTAGTTTGATTTTAACAAAAATTGAATTCTTAGGGTTCTTTGATATGCTGAATCTAAACATGTATTTAGATTTTTGATTATAGGCCCAGTTTTCAAGTTGGTCCAAATCGGGGTCCAAAATTAAACTTTGTTTGATTTCAACAAAAATTGAATATATGGGGTTCTTTGATATGCTGAATCTAACCATGTATTTAGATTTTTGATTTTTGGGCCCCGTTATCAACTTTGTCCACATTGAGGTCAAAAGGGTCCAAAATTAAACTTTGTTTGATTTCATCAAAAATTGAATTCTTGGGGTTCTTTGATATGCTGAATCTAACCATGTATTTAGATTTTTGATATTGGACCATAATAGGTGAATGTCCAATTTAAAATTTTTAAGTTCTTAGACCACATTCAATCTGTGTTAGAAACCTATGCTGTGTCAAATATTTAATCACAATCCAAATCCAAAGCTGTATCAAGCTTGAATGTTGTGTCCATACTTCCCCCAACTGTTCAGGGTTCGACCTCTGCGGTCGTATCAAGCTGCGCCCTGCGGAGCATTTTATTGAAGAATTCAGATGCATAATTAAATCTTACACCTGCACACATGCACACACATGTTCTACTAGTTCTAACATCATGGTACTGATGAATTTTAGCTTAAAACCTCTATTACTTCCCTTTTTAATTTTTCATCAGTTATTTCTGATAATCTACTGTAAATTCAGAAATTATTGCAATATTTTTATTATTGCGAAAAATGCGACAGGATTATAATCGCAATAATTTAAACTCGCATTTTGAAATTTTTTATATGAATTAAACAGGATTTTCCTCAATATCGCAAAAATTAAAATTGCATTTTAGTCTTAAATGACAAAATCGCAATACTAAATGCACGCAATAATTTCTGAATTTACAGTATATCTATTTGACTGAATTAATTAGATGCAAACCTCTGATATTTAAGAAAATTACTTTAGATAGACTTCTGAATATTGTCCGGTACAAAATAGTTACCTGTCACCTCAACAGGTTAATTTCAGCTGTCAGACAACTAATAAACCGTGATTGTAATGAGGGGGTATTAAAGTAGGGTTTGTTTTGACAATACTTATTCATCATTTCACTTTAATGACCCAAAATGTGTGGTTGTTTAAGGCAAAAAGTCAGATTAAAAAAAAAATAGCATAAACTTCAATTTTTTTCTGAATTATGATAAAATGGCATTACCACGTTACTTGTTCTGTTCAGGCTCGGCACAACAAGTCGAGAATATAATTTATTGAACAAGTCAAAACAATACACTGGTTTTGGAAGCCCTGGTCTATTACAAAGCAGACTTCATAGTCATATATTAAGATGGTTGCGTCTTGATATGCATGTAATAATTGCCACTTGTTGTTAAACACTAATCCATAATCAATGATGTAAATTATTTATGAGCTTTTGTGAATAAAATTGTTGTTCAGTCACTTGTTCAAAATTTGTTGATATTTAAATTTTTGGATTACTTAAGCTATAATAATTGCAATATTTAAGAATTAACTATTAAGATTTAAAGACAGCATTTTAAATGAACAGTTTCTTCTTATTTTCAGAATCTGACAATGAAGAAAAAATAGATGATAAAGAAAATCTTGAAAATTTTGTTGAGAGTAAAAGTTCTAGTCAACAGTCCACTGATGAACCAACAAAGAGAAAACGAGGTTGGCCAAAAGGGGTACCAAGAGGTTCTCCTTTTGCAAGGAAAACTGGACCTAAAGGTAGACCTAAGGTTAGTATAAACTTTTATAAGTAGTTTTATTTCTATTAACCTCATGTTATTTTCAAAATTCATAGTTAGATGAATTTAAGTTTTTGTTGGATACTGTTTAACATACCTTAAAACATAGCAGTTGTTGTTCCAGTTGCAGAAAGTATTTTTGGTACACTTTGTTCTTGCTTTTTCCATAATGTTTTGTTGTTATATGATTTGCTAAGACAAACAATATTATTCTTATTTTGAAAACTACATGAAGATAATCTTACATAACTAAATTTTGAAAATTAGACATTAATTGCAGTATTAAAATAACAAAACGGTAAAGTGAAATTAGGGTGTTACAAGTAATATAATCAACTGTCTACAAAGTGATGATATTATTATTCTTTGACCGAGTTGGAATTGCCATGTCTATCTCATGTATAATTGAACAGTTCAGATCAACTTCCTTTCGATTATACAATTTGCAAAGTCTGATTAGTAACATTTGAAGTAAATTAATGAGTTGTGTAAGAGTGTCTGATAATTTTACTTTTGATAAAATAATTGTTAAGCTGATGGAGATTTCATAGTTTTTGAGATTATAACATATAGCATATCTATTTAGGATAATTTTACTGTTTCACCAAAAATAAAAAAAGGTAATTTTAGTTCAGTTTAATTTCTTATTCATTGTGTATGGTTCAAACAAATTATGGTTTTATGTAGATATATTTTAAACCAATGATTACTGATTGGGCATTTTTATTTTTATCTAAATATCCATGAAAAAATATGAAATAGAAAAAAAACACCAACATATACACAATGTTGAGTTTTTATTTGACTTAAGTAACTTCCAAGTTGTTTCATGAAAAAAAAATGTGATGTGCTATAGTAGACCATAATATTTGATATATATAATTTATTTTAACATTTCTACATAAACAGCTGATGATGTTCTGTCGGTTGTAATTTTTTAACCACATATTTATAAGCAACTTGGATGTAAAAAGAAAACGAGTTACTGGTGCAATATTTATATTCATTCATGTTGTATTTAAACCATGCATGGATTTTCATCTTAGTTGTTAAATCAGCGTGTAAGAAAAAAATATAACACACAATTCAGTTGTAAAAATGCAAAGTATATACAGATTGTTCTTTAAAAAAAGAAAGTGGTCTAATAAATAGAGGGTTGAAAATGCAAAAAAAAAATACACAACAGTACTGACAAGCACACTGAAAAATTATCTTAGGCTGAACACTTAATGTCTTTCTTCTTGAAAACTACAGTAATAGAGTCAATCTGACAGTAAACCAGACAAGAATTTATGAGTTTTTATACGACCGCAAAAATTGAAAATTTTTTGGTCGTATATTGGTATGACGTTGGCGTCGTCGTCGTCGTCGTTGTCGTCGTCGTCGTCGTCGTCGTCGTCCGGCGTCGTCTGGCGTCGTCCGAAGACACATTGGTTTTCACACTCTAACTTTAGTTTAAGTGAATGGATCTCCATGAAATTTTACCATAAGGTTCAATACCATGAAAGGAAGGTTGGGATTGATTTTGGGGGTTATGGTACCAACAGTTAAGGAATTAGGGGCCAAAAAGGGGCCAAAAATAAGCATTTTTGTAACTTCCAGACAATAACTTGTGTGTATGTGTATGGATCTCTCTGACATTGTACCACAAGGTTCCATATCACAAAGGGAAGGCTGTAATTGATTTTGGGGGTAATTGCCTCAAAATTTTAGGAATTAGGGGCCAAAAAAGGGGCAAAAAACAAGCATTTTTCTAGTTTCATGACAATAACTTGTGTGTAAGTGCTTGGATATTTCTGAAATTGTACTACAAGGTTCCATATCACAAAGGGAAAGCTGGAATTGAGTTTGGGGGTAATTGCCCGAAACGTTTAGGAATTGGGGGCCAAAAAGGGGCCAAAAATAAGCATTTTTCTAGTTTCCAGACAATAACTTGTGTTCAAGTGTATGGATCTCTCTGAAATTGTACTGCAAGGTACCATACCACAAAGGGAAGGCTGAGATTGAGTTTGGGGTGATGAATCATAAGGGGGTTCAAAAAATTTTGGGGGGGGATTTCTTTTTTTCTTTTTTTCCTTTTTTTTTTTCTTTTAAAATTTTCCATTTTAAGTTGGTTATTTCTGATTTATATTTAAAAGCAAATAATAATGATATGGTAGGAGATACACACCAAACAGGATGTGTAAATTATTATATTATAAGTATTGTGCAATAGCAAGAAATTTTCAATTGCACAGTATTGCACAATAGCAAGAAATCTTCAATTGCACAGTATTGCGCAATAGCAAGAAATCTTCAATTGCACAGTATTGCGCAATAGCAAGAAATATCCAATAGCACAATATTGCGCAATAGCAAGAAATTGTCAATTGTACAGTATTGCGCAATAGCAAGAAATAATCAATTGCACAGTATTGTGCAAAAGAAGATACTTCCTATAAATTGCTTATTTCTTGATCAATTTCAATAGGGTTTTATTCTTGAATTCTTGGGGTTCTTTAATATGCTGAATCTAACCGTGTATTAAGTTTTTGGATTTTGGGCCCCGTTTTTAAATTGGTCCACATTGAGGTCCAAAGGGTCCAAAATTTTACTTTGTTTGATTTCATCAAAAATTGAATTATTGGGGTTCTTTGATATGCCGAATCTAACCGTGTATTTAGATTCTTAATTTTTGGTTCTGTTTTCAAATTGGTCTACATAAAGGTCCAAAGGGTCCAAAATTAAACTTAGTTTGATTTCAACAAAAATTGAATATATGGGGTTCTTTGATATGCTGAATCTAACCATGTATTTAGATTTTTGATTATGGGCCCAGTTTTCGAGTTGGTCCAAATCGGGGTCCAAAATTAAACTTTGTTTGATTTCAACAAAAATTGAATATATGGGGTTCTTTGATATGCTGAATCTAACCATGTATTTAGATTTTTGATTATGGGCCCAGTTTTCAAGTTGGTCCAAATCGGGGTCCAAAATTAAACTTTGTTTGATTTCAACAAAAATTGAATATATGGGGTTCTTTGATATGCTGAATCTAACCATGTATTTAGATTTTTGATTGTTGGGCCCCGTTATCAACTTTGTCCACATTGAGATCAAAAGGGTCCAAAATTAAACTTTGTTTGATTTCATCAAAAATTGAATATATGGGGTTCTTTGATATGCTGAATCTAACCATGTATTTAGATTTTTGATTATGGGCCCAGTTTTCAAGTTGGTCCAAATCGGGGTCCAAAATTAAACTTTGTTTGATTTCAACAAAAATTGAATATATGGGGTTCTTTGATATGCTGAATCTAACCATGTATTTAGATTTTTGATTATGGGCCCAGTTTTCAAGTTGGTCCAAATCGGGGTCCAAAATTAAACTTTGTTTGATTTCAACAAAAATTGAATATATGGGGTTCTGTAATATGCTGAATCTAACCGTGTATTAAGTTTTTGGATTTTGGGCCCCGTTTTTAAATTGGTCCACATTGAAGTCCAAAGGGTCCAAAATTTAACTTTGTTTGATTTCATCAAAAATTGAATTATTGGGGTTCTTTGATATGCCGAATCTAACCGTGTATTTAGATTCTTAATTTTTGGTTCTGTTTTCAAATTGGTCTTCATAAAGGTCCAAAGGGTCCAAAATTAAACTTAGTTTGATTTTAACAAAAATTGAATTTTTAGGGTTCTTTGATATGCTGAATCTAAACATGTATTTAGATTTTTGATTATGGGCCCAGTTTTCAAGTTGGTCCAAATCGGGGTCCAAAATTAAACTTTGTTTGATTTCAACAAAAATTGAATATATGGGGTTCTTTGATATGCTGAATCTAACCATGTATTTAGATTTTTGATTTTTGGGCCCTGTTATCATTTTTGTCCACATTGAGATCAAAAGGGTCCAAAATTAAACTTTGTTTGATTTCATCAAAAATTGAATTCTTGGGGTTCTTTGATATGCTGAATCTAACCATGTATTTAGATTTTGGATATTGGACCATAATAGGTGAATGTCCAATTTAAAATTTTTAAGTTCTTAGACCACATTCATTCTGTGTCAGAAACCTATGCTGTGTCAAATATTTAATCACAATCCAAATTCAGAGCTGTATCAAGCTTGAATGTTGTGTCCATACTTGCCCCAACTGTTCAGGGTTCGACCTCTGCGGTCGTATCAAGCTGCGCCCTGCGGAGCATTTTATTCATTTGTGTTACTAGCAATTGGCCATTAAAAATAATTGCGAAGTATTTTCATTAATTTAGAAAGATAAATCTTAAGTACTTGTTAATAATTGAATTTTTAAGGCACTTTTTATATTATATATGGTCTGTAGTGTGGCGATAAGTATTTCATCTCATATTTATGCACCAAGCATCTTTTAACTGCCTAGAAATCAGTTGATGAAGAGGACACATTCTGTACGTTAAATCATTTGTTAGTGTTTTGTAAAGTGTATCTATGTAAGTCTTGACAAGTTTGTAAATTTATTTTAACAGACTCAACGCAAGGATTTCATGGAGGCAAGTGTAGCAAAAGTAAAGGAAGATAAATGTGATAAACCGAAGAAAGAGTTCAATGATGATTCCGATAACGAGTCCATTGAAACAAAAAGAAGTGAAAACTTTGATTCTATGGCAGAAACAAAAGAGAAAGATGTGAAAAGTGAGGAGGATCTCTGTGTAAATAATTTTAATAATAGTGCTAAATTATTAACTGACAAAATCAGTGAAACTGAGGCTGCTACTAAAAATGTTGAATTAGAAATGGAAGAAAGTAAAGATTCTTCTAAATGTGAAGACATAGTAGAGGAGGACAAAGGTAGTGATATTGGGGAATGTGACAGTGCTAATGTAAGTCGTGAGGCTGAGGATGCTGTGCAGGCATTACAAGTGGCTGAACAGGGGGATAGTGAGGAGGGGAAAAGCAATAGTCCAGATAGTTGTGAACAGGAACGTCAACATTTAACACCAGAGTTATCTGTATCTGGTCCAAGTCCAGCCTCACAACCATGTGTCACAGATTGCATATCTGATACAAACAGTGATGTCCCAGCACCATTAACGCCTCAAGTGCCAACACCACCTCCTTCACAGGAAAATCTGTCTCCGAATATAAAATCTGTGTCAAATACAGACTCGCCAACTAAAACATCACCTTCTAAAAGTGACAGTATGAAAGAAAGTGATAACAATGATAAGTCTAAGTTACAGAATGATGAAGAGGAAGATAGTACATCTGATGATGACATTCCAAGTGATGATAATTATCATGATGACTTTAATGACTCTCCTCCTGGTGCTCCGGCACCTGTTACATCACTACTATCGCCACCACCACAGCCAGTAGTGGTGCAGCAATCACCTATTCAGATGTCACCAGTACAGCAATCCCCTGTTCATCAATCACCAATTCAGGCATCATCTGTACAGCAATCTCCCGTTCAACAATCACCTATCCAGCATTCACCTTTACAGCCATCCCCCATACAACATTCACCTATTCAGCAATCACCAATGCAACCGTCACCAATGAAACATTCACCTGTTGTTCAAAAACAACCCGGCAGTGCTAAATCTTTCCATGAAACATTTGCTGAGGACCTTCCTAGTAACTTTGACCAATTAAGTAATAGTTCGACTAGCAATTTACAAAGTGATTCCTTGCCACAACAGCAGGAAAAGTTTAAAACACGACCACCTCAGAATCAAAATAGTTGCAGTAATTTTCCTTCTCAAGTATTTCCGCAGAATTCATCTATGGGTCAAATGACCAATACAAACATAGGAAGCACAGGATTTGGAAATGAAATGGACGTTTCACAACTTCAAGCATTGGAATCCCCTGCTTCCATAGGTAGTAATGAAATGCCAAATTCTAACAATTCTGCAGAAAATGCACCACCATCTATTCTTAGTTTTATGGACTGTGCTGAAGCTCAATCACACAGAACATATAGTAATGCATGTATAAATAATCACAATAGTGGACGTTACATGGACATGGTATCTTCATCATATCCAGTTAGTAGTTGTGGTTCATTCATATCTCCTGTACCTAGTGGTGCAAACATTGTACAGAACTTTTGTCCTCCTCCTGTTAGTACTTATGCCCTTCAGCAGCAGCAGCAGCAGCAGCAACAAAATTCAACACACAGACTTTCACATAGTAATTCACAGTGTCGTGTTCAACAGCCACCATCTGTCAGTAGACAGAACAGTGGCCCTGGACCATATCCACCTCAGAACATTAGTTGTGATCTAGCAAAACTGCAGCAATTAACAAATGGAATTCCAGATCTCATGCCAAACAATACCATGACTCCTCCCCCAAATCTTACACCACCTCCTACTCATAACATGACTCCACCTCCTATGATGCGAGGCATGACTACACCTCCCGTTCCAAACCAGCAAAATTCATCAGGGCTTGTTGGACCATATAAACAATATCAACAACAACCAACACAAAGGCAGCGTTCATCTTCTGTGCGGAAGAGTCCAAATGTGACAGTTAATCCTAATATGACATTTACACCTAATGTGACAATTCGTCCAGGATCTAATATGATCACGGGTTATAATAATTTATTGGACAGTTATCGTATGAGGCAGCCAATGATAAACCCAGGGTATATAAATCATGGGTTTCCACTTAATCAGTTGGGTCAGACTCCTCAGTTACCAATGCAAATGTTAAATATGAATATGAACATGAACATGAATATGAACCCAGCACAACAACATTTTCCTCAACACATGCAACCTTCTCAGTCGAACAATATGTACGCATACAGTTACATTAATGGTAGCCTACCCCCATCTCTGAACAATATGAATGGGATGATGAGGCGGTAATGTTGTACAACTTAAATTATTTGATTTTTAATATTTGTGTATAATTTGTTAAATTTCGAGGACCACGGTGATGTGTTTCAAGTTATGCATTCATTGTACATAGATAATCACAACTTGTTCAGGTCAGGTTATAATGTGATCTGTGTGAGAGAAGGTACAAGTTGTATGCAAGTTATATTTATTTATTAAGTTGTATATTATATTTGTGTCTTTTTTTATGTGAAAGAACAAAATTTTCCCTAGATGGGAATTTGGCAAAGAACAGTATTAGTATGTGTTATTCTTTATTTCTTATCTGACATTCTACTAATACACATTTTGAAAGCCTTTGCATCTGATATACTTTCATACATTTATGAATTTTTAATTTTAATTTTTATCAGTACTTAAGAAATGGATTAGTTCAAGTCACTAAAATCACTCTGCATTTAAGTTAAAACAGATATGACTTTAGATGTAATTAATACAAACTGCATGAAAAGTATGGTTTTTGTCCATATCGATATTTATAAGACAGCTTTATTAAAGATTTTTAAGGATTTTCATATAATAATTACTTTTGTTATTAATGCTTCATAAACTGCTTTGTTAATAACAAAGTGCATATATTTTTGACACTCCCCTCTGTATCGGGGGCTTCCAGTAAGAATTAAGCAAAGAAGTGGGTTGGTTGATGTGTGGCATTTAAAACTAAGGTTTTTTCGTCATCAGATTTTTTGTACTATTATTATTATTATTTTTTTAACACACAAAATTTATAGCCAGAAGAAAATTAAAATGGATGTTACACTGTATCTCCTCCTGTTTAACTATTTTTCTTTGAGATTTCATATTAAAGTAAGTGATGGTGCCATCTTTGTTTGTGGTTATTGGCTATTTTGATTTAAACATAACTTCTCATTTCTACCCTAGGGAGATAGACTTTGTAAACAACCTACAGATTTAATAAACAACTTCATATTACTTAAAAATAAGATTGAAGAAAATCATGCATATGCCCTTCTAGGTGTGTGTTATGCTTACATGTTACAGCAATAACCGAAATTGTCAAGTTGTCCAAGCACCATATTTTTTAGCATGATATGAATTTCTCATTCAGAGATGTATTATTTTTTTTTAATTGGTAAAAGATAGTAAAAATGGATACAACAATCTATGAGGGGGTCTTTGCATTAAAAAATTATTATGGTTATCACTGTATTACTGATGAGACTAGACAACATTTTGAAATATTTAAAAAATCTGAAAAGGTATAAGATGTGTTTGAAGAGATAAAAGTACACTCATGTTTTGCAGATGGTCAGATTATGAAACACATACCATTGACAAACATAGTACTATAAGTTCAATATAACAAAAGATGTCCAAGGTCTCATCTGAAAGCCTATTATTTCAGTATTTATGTTTATAGATCAGCTGATATATTTGAAATAAACAAAAATACCTCTGACTATTTTATTATAATAGTTTCTTTTGTTGTCATTTGTGAAATGATTGGTTTGTTCCAGTCGTGAGGAGATTAAGTTGGAAGTGTTATTTCTTGCGAGACACTAGATGATTGTTTAGCGTCAGTCCTTGGAGACACTAGATTATTGTTTAGCTTCAGTCCTTGGAAGAGATAATTGTGAAGTACTTACATTTGTTGGGCACAAGTTTCGTTTTTTTTTTTATTCATTTAAATCCCAAATTGGAATACTCAAATGAATGGAAATATTCTATAGACATGAAAGTCTGACACCACATGAATTTGGCTCTCCAGTCTACACAAATTCAAATATAAAATACCTCACAATTGGAAGTTTTGTGAAATTAATTGAGAAAGTGTCATTAACTATTTTGAACCTCTGAAAAGTATGACAGAAGGAGTTACCTGATAAAATGAAAATTATTTGTACAACATTGTCTGTCTGAAGACTTGTTTTGTCATTGTTACAAATAATTTTCCCATGCCACACTTTTAGGAAAATATACTGGTAGCCTAAAATAATATGCAAGTTATTATCTCCCTTCAAATAGTTACTACACTCCCTTAAAAGTATAAAAAAAGAAATAGAAGATGTTATATTTTCATCTTTTCTCTGGTCTAACACTTAATTTAATGGGAGGCATATTCCCGGTGTAACTTCAGGTTTACAAATGTGCCTTATCAATTGACATCTTCTATTGTGGCATTTTACGATACTGTTGTTTTTCTTTTATTTCTACAGTAAATAAAGTTTATTATATTAAATGATGTGTTACAGATAAAAAATACGTTCAACAAACATTCTTTTATATGTGGATTAATTTTTAATCTTCATTTCTAGCTATCTCTTATGTTGTACATGGATTGAGGAGTGTGTCAAGTGACTGTTGTGATGCAATGTGATATTTAACTTGTATGTGTGAGAGAGAGATGTTTAGTCACAAAACTGTTACCATGTTATATTTTTGTTAGATTGTAAATAGTATCACGTGGACTGTGCATTTAAAAAAATAAATTATGATTTTTCTCCTCAGATTTGGATTAATTGATAGTTATTTTTAATGTGTAGTGTACTCTGAAAACTGTATCACACATCTATATTACATTATGAAGAAAATTACCAGTTGAACCTCTAACTGTATCACACATTTATATTACATCATGAAGAAAAACACCAGTTGAACCTTTAACTGTATCACACATCTAGATTACACTATGAAGAAAATTACCAGTTGAACCTCTAACTGTATCACACATCTATATTACATTATGAAGAAAATTACCAGCTGAACCTTTAACTTTATCACACATCTATATTACATTATGAAGAAAAACACCAGTTGAACCTTTAACTGTATCACACATCTTTATTACATTATGAAGAAAATTACCAGTTGAACCTCTAACTGTATCACACATTTATATTACATCATGAAGAAAAACACCAGTTGAACCTTTAACTGTATCACACATCTAGATTACACTATGAAGAAAATTACCAGTTGAACCTCTAACTGTATCACACATCTATATTACACTCTGAAGAAAAACACTAGTTGAACCTTTAACTGTATCACACATCTATATTACATTATGAAGAAAAACACTAGTTGAACCTTTAACTGTATCACACATCTGTATTACATTATGAAGAAAATAACCAGTTGAACCTTTAACTGTATCACACATCTATATTACATTATGAAGAAAAACACCAGTTGAACCTTTAACTGTATCACACATCTGTATTACACTCTGAAGAAAAACACCAGTTGAACCTTTAACTGTATCACACATCTATATTACATTATGAAGAAAAACACCAGTTGAACCTTTAACTGTATCACACATCTAGATTACACTATGAAGAAAATTACCAGTTGAACCTTTAACTGTATCACACATCTATATTACACTCTGAAGAAAAACACCAGTTGAACCTTTAACTGTATCGCACATCTATATTACATTATGAAGAAAAACACCAGTTGAACCTTAACTGTATCACACATCTATATTACATTATGAAGAAAATTACCAGTTGAACCTTTGACTGTATCGCACATCTATATTACATTATGAAGAAAAACACCAGTTGAACCTTTAACTGTATCACACATCTATATTACATTATGAAGAAAATTACAGTTGAACCTCTAACTGTATCACACATCTATATTACATCATGAAGAAAAACACCAGTTGAACCTTTAACTGTATCACACATCTGTATTACATTATGAAGAAAATAACCAGTTGAACCTTTAACTGTATCACACATCTAGATTACACTCTGAAGAAAAACACCAGTTGAACCTTTAACTGTATCACACATCTATATTACATTATGAAGAAAAACACCAGTTGAACCTTTAACTGTATCACACATCTGTATTACATTATGAAGAAAATAACCAGTTGAACCTTTAACTGTATCACACATCTAGATTACACTCTGAAGAAAAACACCAGTTGAACCTTTAACTGTATCACACATCTATATTACATTATGAAGAAAAACACCAGTTGAACCTTTAACTGTATCACACATCTATATTACATTATGAAGAATAACACCAGTTGAACCTTTAACTGTATCACACATCTATATTACACTCTGAAGAAAAACACCAGTTGAACCTTTAACTGTATCGCACATCTATATTACATTATGAAGAAAAACACCAGTTGAACCTTTAACTGTATCACACATCTATATTACATTATGAAGAAAATTACCAGTTGAACCTTTGACTGTATCGCACATCTATATTACATTATGAAGAAAAACATCAGTTGAACCTTTAACTGTATCACACATCTATATTACATTATGAAGAAAATTACCAGTTGAACCTCTAACTGTATCACACATCTATATTACATCATGAAGAAAAACACCAGTTGAACCTTTAACTGTATCACACATCTATATTACATTATGAAGAAAAACACCAGTTGAACCTTTAACTGTATCGCACATCTATATTACATTATGAAGAAAAACACCAGTTGAACCTTTAACTGTATCGCACATCTATATTACATTATGAAGAAAAACACCAGTTGAACCTTTAAACTTTATCACACATCTGTATTACATTATGAAGAAAATAACCAGTTGAACCTTTAACTGTATCACACATCTAGATTACACTCTGAAGAAAAACACCAGTTGAACCTTTAACTGTATCACACATCTATATTACATTATGAAGAAAAACACCAGTTGAACCTTTAACTGTATCACACATCTAGATTACACTATGAAGAAAATTACCAGTTGAACCTTTAACTGTATCACACATCTATATTACACTCTGAAGAAAAACACCAGTTGAACCTTTAACTGTATCGCACATCTATATTACATTATGAAGAAAAACACCAGTTGAACCTTTAACTGTATCACACATCTATATTACATTATGAAGAAAATTACCTGTTGAACCTTTGACTGTATCGCACATCTATATTACATTATGAAGAAAAACACCAGTTGAACCTTTAACTGTATCACACATCTATATTACATTATGAAGAAAATTACCAGTTGAACCTTTGACTGTATCGCACATCTATATTACATTATGAAGAAAAACACCAGTTGAACCTTTAACTGTATCACACATCTATATTACATTATGAAGAAAATTACCAGTTGAACCTTTGACTGTATTGCACATCTATATTACATTATGAAGAAAAACACCAGTTGAACCTTTAACTGTATCACACATCTATATTACATTATGAAGAAAAACACTAGTTGAACCTTTAACTGTATCACACATCTAGATTACACTATGAAGAAAATTACCAGTTGAACCTTTGACTGTATCGCACATCTATATTACATTATGAAGAAAAACACCAGTTGAACCTTTAACTGTATCACACATCTGTATTACATTATGAAGAAAAACACCAGTTGAACCTTTAAAGACATTTCTCACTGTTGCATTTTCCTCAGCAACTACCATTCAGAATTTCTTGATATTTTACACATTCTCCATTTATTTATTTGAAGAAATGAACAGTTTTTCTCAACTTTCAAACAAAGAAAATGTGAGATTGATTGTTGTTTGCTAATGTCCAGTGGCAGATATATTATAAATATTCAGGATAAGAACAATTTTAACAATAAATACAATAGGTTGGTTCTACAAAGTGGGTGGACTAGAATGAAGGGCAGAATATCTAGACTGCCACTGGGAAAAAAGGCAAGTATGTTGAATAGGGACAGAAATTCTGCCCTGCAACAGGCCACCTACTGAACGCTTTAAAGAGTTGTTGCAAGGGTTCTCCAATGTGCAAAGTGCACACACTCCCTAAAAAATATTGGAATGCATGTCTTAATAGACACGGCTGTGTATTCAAACTTGCTGCAAAGCCAAACAGATCCTTCTTTAACAATGGGCCAACTTTTGTACAGGAGAAGTCCAGATGACCATATTTCAATACCTCAATTGAGACAAAAGTCGCATTATGCAAGACATAGGGAATACAATCAGGCAGTGGCAGTGTAAACTATTTGTATAAAGCTTTATATGGTACCATGACTGCTTGAAAAAAAAAGTTCATTTTTTTGTCATGTGAATTTCTGACCTATTATGAGAAATAATATAACTATATTTGGTATATGAGTTCCTTGCAAGGTCGACATGTCCATCAAACAAGGTTCATCTGACCTCGATCTCATTTCATGGATCAGTGATGAAGGTTAAAGTTACTAGATTAGGTCCATTTCTGAGAGATTTAGTAGTCCACTAAATTTGGTGTATGGAATGGTTGTAAGGTGTATAAGTTTTTATACGCCCGTTTACGGGACGTATTATGGTATACCGTTGACCATCTGTCCGTCCGTCTGTCCGTCTGTCATCAACATGTCGGACATTAATTCACAAGCGCTTTAACCAATATGCATGAAACTTTGGTGAATTGTTTATATCTATTGACGTGAGCTCCCTTTTGTTTTTTATTAATTTCGGATTTATTTTCGAGTTTTGGGGTTTTATTCATTAAAAAAGGGGGGATTTTCCAGTTTTCGGACAATAACTCAAAAAAAATTTCACCAATTTGCATGAAACTTTTGTGAATTGTTCATATCTATTGACGTGAGCTCCCTTTCGTTTTTTATAAATTTCGGACTTACCGTTTCCGAGTTTTGGGCTTTTATTCATTAAAAAAAGGGGGGATTTTCCAGTTTTAAGACAATAACTCAATAACAATTTCACCAATTTGCAAGAAACTTTGGTGAATTGTTTATTTCTATTGACATGAGCTCCCTTTTTATTTTTATAAATTTCAGACTATATGTTTCCGATTTATGGGGTTTTATTCATTACAAAAAGGGGGATTTTCCAGTTTTCGGACAATAACTCAAAAATGCTTCAGCATATTTTTATGAAACTTTGTTAAATTGTTTTTATCTATTTTTGTAAGCTCCCTTTTGATTTTTATGAATTTTCGATTTTACGTTTCCGAGTTGTAAGATTTTATTTGTTTATAGTCTGACAACAGATTTACTAAGTATTGCACCAACAGCACAGTGTATTGCACAACAGCAAAAAATCTTTCATATAACCAATTTCAAGTTCTTTGACTACATTTATTCAGAAACCTATAATATATCAAATATTTAATTACAATCCAAATTCAGACCTGTATCAAGCTTGAATATTGTGTCCATTTTTGCCCCAACTGTTCAGGGTGAGACCTCTGCGGGCGTATCCAGCTGCTCTCAGCGAAGCAGTTTATTGTGTTTTGGTCTGTTTTTCTAATACTATCAGCAATAGGTCAACTTTATTTGGTGAATGGAATGATTGTACGGTGTACATGTTTGGCAGGTGTCATCTGACCTTGACCTCATTTTCATGTTTCATTGTGATACTTGCTTTAGGACTATCAACATCAAGACATTTCAGCATGTGCACCCTTATTTATTTATACTATGAAAAGCTTTTGTTTTAGTGTTATTGTCACAACTGTATCATTTGGAAATTTAATTTTAAAATTATGCTTCATTTTTGCTA